CGGTATCTCGTCGTCGTCACCGTCGCCACTGGTAATAATGGAAATTTCAACGACGACGATGCGAGTAAATCAGATAACCATACGTTGTCTGCTAGAGGTCGCCGACGGCGATGCGATGCCCGCAAAGAAAATCGAACCCGTAGATATATAAAGAACAAAAAAAAGCTGATACTGTTGGTGGTGTGTCACGTGTAGGCGGAAAGACGGAAAAGTAGAAGCTTGTATATATAGAGTAGTTCAATTTATATCATTACACATTTTTTTTATCTTTTTGGCACTTACAAGTACAAATTTGATGTTAAATTTATGATAATTTATGATGGACCTAAAAAATATTTACAGAACACTCGAATATTTTTTAATAGCTTAACAAAACCTTCCCTTCTAAAATCAACAGAATATTTTGAAAAATACACGACTTCTAAAAAGATCTAATATTATAAATATTCGTACTAATTTCGAATTTGTATGATTACTTTCAACTGAATTATACTAATAAAAAACAAATGGACATAATTCGTTCGATGGATGGGCCACTGTTGTAGGTGAGAAGTTGGGAAGATAGAAGAGAAATTGAATGTACATCTGTACACAAAGATGAAATTAATCATAACTAAATAAAAACAATTCTGAGTGATGGAATCGGTTATGCATTTATAAAAAGCCCATAATATTTACGATTTTCGTTAAACATTTTATATTGATAACTATACACAATTTTTTTTTTTTTTTACCATAAAGTGAGACTTAAAATTAATTTTTGGTTAAATATTCATGAGTTTTTGTTTGGTTTAACAATTTTTGTCACAGAGTACTAATCGAATAGAAATTACATACACAAATTGGCAAAATTAAAATGTCTATTATTAGTTCAAATATAACTAAAATGATTTGGAAGTTTCACCACGTCTATAAAACGCGAATATAAGTTCCTGTCCAAATTTCAAGTTTCTACAAATATTTTTAACTGAATCACAATAACAAAAAACAACTAAATTAAAAATAAATACATTTCGTTAAGTTTTCCAAGTTTTTCCCAATTGTTATGAAAACCTCTAAGAAAATTAAGAATTAACTTCTTTAAAATACCACATAAAAAAAAATTATTTTTAGAAAAGGTACTACCACTTGAAAATTGAATCAAGATTTCTGGTAGAAAAGTTGTTCGCAGGAAAAAAAATAACATCATTATAAAACCGATACATTTCTGTTTTCGTACAGAATCTAAAATAACTGAATCCATTATCGCATACATTTTCCTATTCTTCCAAGTTCTTCCTGATTTTCAAAAGGCCTCTTCTATGCACCAAATAGTCATACATTTTTGATCTAACATCACTCCTCTCCAATATCGCAAATGAATGAAAAATTATTCTGGTCGAATATTTGTTCGCAAATCGAAAAGAAAGCACAAATCATATTTTAAAGGGGGGGAGGGGGGTTCGGTGAGCCTTAATAAACTGCAGTAGCTCTTTTTTTCTGTAGGGCCCTTTAATATTGCTTTCTTTCCTCGTCGCCCTTAATCCGGGGTTGACCACCGTCGACAGAATCCTTTTTATTCGTCCATCCACTTTTATACGCTCGGCAGCAATCGTTTTACTCGGAAATAAATAAAGCTATACTTTAGTATATTGTTACGACTAGACGGTGTATAACTGTGTGTGTGTGTATGTATGTGTTGTACTCTTGTACTTTTATATAGATATACATATACTTGTACGTATCTATATGTAAGGATAAAAGATTTCACCGGGGGGCGGACTCAACGACCTATTCATAATCACATTACGCCGCCGTCCCTTCACCTTCGCGGCCCCGCGATTCCGTCCACGCCATCGTTTGACAACACCGGCTTTTCTTATCCCCCCGCCGCCAAAACATAAGTCAATGTCCATAAGGGACCGTGATGCATTGCGACGGCAGCAGCGGATTCAGTATGTAATCTCGTCCGTAAAATAACTAACTAGGTATAAAATATACAGGTACCTAAATATCGGCGGCAATTTATCAATCGTACATTGATAAAAATATATTATTTTCCGAAGTACAATAAGAATTCAAGAGCACGTTTTGCCTCCCGAATTAAAAGGGTTGCGGTATAGCCCGGTATGGGTAATTTTCTAGAAAAACAAAAAAAAAAAAAAAATGCATTAGTATCAACTATTCTAATTCTATCATATTCTAATACGCTAGAGACAATTAGTGGCCACGTCACACCACTTTTCTTATTGGGCTGTCATCAGGATTGGATCAATGACTCTAAACAATTTAATAGTCCCAATCACAAGACACGTGATATTTTTACTGATTATATTGTATTAAAATATGAGTACCTACATACAAACTAATAATTCACTACGTATTATTAAATATTAGTTACTCAAATGATGTTTTTTACGATTAGAATGAGTATCTAAATATATAAAATATAGGATATAAGAGTTTTAAAGTTATTTTGTATAAAATTTAAGTGTACGCTTTATTTGTTTGGATGCAATCATACTCAATAAGGATTGTTATCACATCATACGATTTCAAGCTAAGAAGATTCCAAAGTCTTCTATTTAAATTATTTTACAGATAGTCTTGTGTCATTATCATTTATCGCAATAGTATTTATTTTATAACCGTGAAATGAATACTAAAATGATTACAAAAAAAAACTATTAGGAAAAAACTACTTGGGTTTAGTACTATGAAACCAAAGAGTTAACTGTTTCTGCGTAGGTTTTTTCCGGTATTTTAATTTTGAGAAAGATAAAAGCATTTTTAAATTTTTATATTTCACATACGTAACTATTCTCGACATATCCTGATTTAAAATTAATATGTCAAAAAAAAACAAACTGGGATACAAGTACAGATAATGTTCTTACCTTTAGGATTGGTAATCGGTCAATTCACTCTTGTATTAAAACAAATAGCAAATAAATGGTTCTATTTAACGCAAATCTACCAATCCGTGAGATTGTTAGACGAAGAAAACAAATATATGTGTAGCATCTTCTTTACGTTCGAAAGAACTGTTCTTTGTCATAGTATTACAGCTATCACAGTCGTAATTGCGATGGATATAATGAGAACATTTACAAACCATCACTATAGAGCGATTTAATATATAGACATAATAATATTAAGAACGATAATGGTTCTTCTTCTTAGCTTAGAAAAACACAAAGTAGCCGGTGCCTTGATCATTTATCTTGTACCCATATCGCGAAGTCGGTTAAAGTGAATGCAGGGAAAACATATAATATAACGGCAAGACGGATTCAAACAAATTAGCGAAACGGAACAAGCATCAAAATCATGCACAGACAAATGACGGGGATTTTTTTTTTCATTATTATAAAGTTTTAAAGAAAAACGTCGTCACCAACAGTTTCGAAAAAGTTCACGCGCATTTTTGTGTGCAGCATAATAATCAATTACCATAAAGTTTTCTGTGTAAATTAAAAAGTTTAATCCTATACGTATTAAATAAATATACATATATATTTTTTATTATTAATACGGTTTCTCATAGTTATATTGTTATTTTATTTTATTTATTATTATTTTTTTTTTAAAAGATATGCATTTTGATAATTATATAAGATTAATTCTAGTATAACTGCATAGTAGGTATCTAATTGTTGTTATATTTTTATTTCAAAACGAAAATACTTTTTTTTTTTATTGTACTTACATCGCACTTTAGACATTTTAAACAGCGATATTTTTTTTTTTATGCAGTGTTTAGATTGGAGGAAGGGGTACATAGGGTCGAAGTATCTCTTGTTATCTATACATATTCTAACAGCGTCCCCCTTATAATTGTTTATATTGGACACAGAGACTGTTAATTTTTAATTTTTTTCAATTTAAGCAATGGTTTTATAATAATATACACTTTTTTCTTACATAATATATTTGTTTTGATTACGAGATAATAATATAAGTTACATAGTATTAATTTGTACCAACTCGATTAGTCAAATATGAAAATGATTGTGTCGGCGAATAATAATAATTAGTATGCTAAGTTAATAACTATTATGTAGAGCTGCAGAATCTGCTGCAGTTGAAAGGAAATTAGTTTTTGATTAAATTCTACAACTAGAATGACTAGGGTTGTTATATGTACAATTTGTTTATTTTAAATAATAAGATGTTTTTTATTTTCCGTATAACACTATGACGATATATAAATATTTCTTTAAACTATACTATAAATATATGAATGAATAATTTGTGTCAAATTTTCTCCGATAGTTAACAAAATTGAACTTAATACCTATTGTGTTTGTCTTGTTTTCTATACTTTTAGCGATTCTTTCAAAACCGAACTGTTCAACAACTTTTCATAATTTGTAGAAATATACCGGGAAACCTAAACAAAATAACTAATTGTTATAAAATATCAAGTAAAAGTAAAAAAAAAATCAATTATGTATTCAATTATGTTTAAAATCATAAAGAAATTTTACATTATTTTTCCTCGATGTTGTTTTTGGTAAAAATCCATTTCTTCCTTCGTACCCAATTAAAATCAATAAATGAGGTACCATTTTAGAGATTAAATTCCTCACATTTGACGGATTTTCAATTTACAATAATTTCATACCGTATACATACAATGTTATCGGGCTAAATTTGCGCTACACAAATAAGAATACAACGAAAATTTAGTTAAACTGGGGAAATATGTAATTCGCTATTATTTTTTTATATTATGTTAACTGTTTAGTTTGTTTTGAAAATGCGAGGTATTTGCACGAACCCACTAGTGCTTTACACGTTATTACGCATTAACACGAAATAATGATAATATAATAACACAAAATAAAAATAAATACGCGGTGTATATATGATACACAGTGTAATAAAAATATTATGTTGATTTATCGCCTAAAACTGGATTTATGGTAATAATAATAAGCCCCGCACGATGTTTTCCGCAGAGTTCGGTTGTCTAGGAAAATAATAATAGTATCGTATTCGTGCGTTAGGTAGGTATACCTTTCGTAAAAAGATAAAAGAGCCGTCCGAAACATCCGCAGTAATAGGTATACGTTGGTAATAGTACCTATGTAGGTGTACCTACGTGCGCCAGATGTGTAATTCTGGGTCACCGACGGGCTAAACATTAATTAACCGCAAGCCACACGGCCAATCAGTATACGCGAGGCCGATTTAAAGCGCATATAAACGTACTATATGAGTCGGAAGCCGCATTTACCCGTACCCTACATATTCAGGTAGGTAGGTGCAATTAAATTTAATGTGCAGTGCTCTCGGTTCGAAAACAAACGCGTTTTTATTAGCCAAGACGAACGACGAAACAAGTACCGACAAGAACTAAATCGCCTATAGATTGGTCGTATATCCTAATGAAGTGTTAAACGGTTTGAACGTTTGACTAGAATTTGTAAATTAGCATAAAACCCTTCGGTACCATTGTAGGATAGGTTTTTGAAATTTTATACGAATCATCTTTGGTGGTGAAATAACCTCATGTGTGCCTAATTTACCATTTTGCGTGGTTTCGCATTCGAAGCGAAGTGTTATAAGAGAATTGATAGTAGTAGTGTAGATCGTATATCAAATGAATAAGTCATTTGTAGAATAAGAAAATAAAAACGTTTTCTTAAAACAATGAAGATTAGAACAGTAAAACTAGTAATTAAGCATACACTTCGTCACAAAGTATAATATTCTCGTAGTATACAAGTATAATATAAAGGGATACATAGAAGAGAAAATAGCCAAGGATCATTACTCAAATGTATGAGCCAACTAATGAAGGATACAGATTACGGATCATATCATGAATTAAATAGAAAAGAGGAAAAACAAGAAGAATGGAAAACTCCTACCAACCAGCCTTTAAGCTGTTAACGTATAAGAATCGCATATAATGTATAATATGAATATTAAATTGAATAAGGTATTCAATAATCATTCATATTTCTTATGCAATAAAAAGTATATCTCCTAACATTATTTTATTTTATTTATATTACTTATATAAAACGGGTACGTTTAAAGTACAGAAAAACTAGTAAGCGTACAGTTAAGTATATAATTATATAAATAGATTAATTATACAGTATTAATTAAACAAAAGTTACAGGTACTCATTGGTTATGCACAACGTCTTAAATATCAGTTGGTTACGTGAGTATTTAGTGGTGCAGTGTTTAATGATGAAAGGATAAGGTGATCGGGACTGGGGGTAAGGCGTTCTAAAACAAACTTGGCTAAGTAACGTGGGACAGTCTGTCACTCCATCGATAAGCTTCCTTAAGAACAGTTCGATAGCAATTCATGGCCTATCTGCCAGGAATTTCAGACCTAGAGTATTCAGTTCAGAATCATACTCATACGTTCGGTGGTCAATTTTTAACAAGTAAGCAGCAATGCTCAACTTTTTACGCTGAAGCCTTTCAATCTGGCTTCTATTTGTATCCATGAGTGGGTCCTAAATAATAACCCCAAACTCTAGAATCGACCTAACAAGTTAACAGTATAGGGCTTTTAGGAGATTTAACAATTTAAATTCGTTGCAAGCTCGCCTTACAAATCCGAGTGTCTTCAGTGTATTACAGAACGATGCTTATTATTATAACTATTATATTATTATTATTTTTAGATTCAAAGTGGTGCGAAGAACCTTATAGTTTTTCAAAGGAAATTTTCTGAAAGTAAATCGGAGGAAAATCAGGGAAATGTACAAAATATATTAGTATATTATTAAGATTTTTTTTTTTTTATGATAGCAATTTTTCTAAAGGGAAATTTCACTGAAGAAGTACTTTAGAGTGGTTATTTTTCGATTTTCTCTGGAATTTTAACAACAAATGTGAAAAACCGAAAAAAAAACGAAAAAATGTAAGAAATGTAGGTATTAACTAAAAATATAATGGACTTCATTTTTCCAGTGGACAATATTTCTATTAGAAATTTTGCTTCAATTTATAATGGTGGCAACATTTCTAAAAGGAAATCTGGCTGGCAAGATATTTTAAAGAGATAATTTTTCGGTTTTTTGGGAGTTTTGCCAGCAAATGTTAAAAACCGGAAAAAACATGGGAAAATCGGAAAAAATGTAGGAAAATCGGTACATTATTAAAAAATAAATATAATGCCTATTTAATTATTTTACTATAGGGTAATATGGCATACATGTTGTTTACAAAGCATCACTATAAACTGAATTCCACTCAGAATCGTTTTTTCGTAAGCAATAGTTTATCATTGCTTACAGGTATACATTAAATTACCTATAACAGTAGCTGCACCCGTCTCTATTATCCTAGAATGACTAATTTAGTTATAAAGATAGAATTTATGAAAACATACTTCCTTCATTTCTCGAATGTTCAACGAGATAAGATGAGAAATTAGATTCTTGTCTGTACTGAAAAATTGAATTTTTCACATAATATTATACTGTATTGAATATTACAATATTTTATTAATATTATAATATGTATTGAATATTTAATACTTGTAAAATAAACAATAAAGGTTGCATAGCACTGTTGTAAATGTGGAACGGATGTAGTCGTAGAGCCATCGTCTAACCCATTCATCTCTTCGAAACGGTTGTCTATACGCTTATAAAGGACGGTGGAGAAAATACAACTCTCGCTAACACTTTCATTGTCTATATACCTAGTTTCCGTGTTGTGAGCTGAAAGCAAATATGAGTATTCACACATCTATTGAGTACCTAACGAGGTGTACACATTGCAACAATTCATTGATACCTTTACCCCATTAAATCTTACTCCTAATATTTTGAGTAATGCACTTCTTGCAAACTTCAAATAGTAAATATAAGATAAGTATAATTTTTTTAGTAGAATATTAATAAGAGTATAATAGGCAGAAGATAAATATAACTTCTTACGATAGGAAATAGCCATCGTCAATAAATATAAAACAGTGGCGGTTTTTAAGGGGGGGCTATGAGAGCAATCGCCCCCCCTGGACCTTTTTTTTTTGTCAACTATTGGGTATGTTCTGTACGTCATATTATTTTCAAACTTTAAGTTTTTTATTGCATCAGTATGAATATTACATTGAAAACAACGGAACAATATTACAATAACAGTGTTATCACAGGAGACGGAACATACAACCACAGATTATATTAAACTAATTAATATAATCTATGATACAACTTACACTATAAAATAATAATATTAAACATCAGCTGATAAGGTTTGAAAATGAAGTTATAAACAGTTTTAGCCACATAGTTACAGAATAGTTGGTTTGAGCCGATATTATTTTTCAATTGCAATTAAGACCGTAGTTGGTACTTATGCATTTTTTTTAAATGTACAAATAATGGATTCAACATCACTAAATACCAATGACCAATGAGTAATCAGTAATGTACTAATATACTAATGTTTAAACTTTACAATTTAAATTCTAATTTGGTTATTCGTAACTCTTATTAGGTTATTATTTTTTTTTTTTTCATCAATCATCATGGATAAATTTATATTAAGAAGGTCAAGTGCTGCGGTTTCTCAACCATTTTCAAAAATTAATGTGGTGAGATAATTATTACTTAATATCTTTATTATAACAAGTTTACAAAAAATTATTTAATTCATATAAGAAGGTAATATGAATTTGTAATTTATGTTGGTTAACTATTTAATTTTAGATTGACTTTGATAAAGATAATCTCAAACGTCCTGAGGAAAATGTTGGAAATTCAGAAGTTGTTTGTTCTAAAATCGCTAAAACAGTAAGTGTTTACTACCTACTTACGTTTAATTCTTTAAAGTATTCATTCAGCAGTTACCAAGAACTATAAGATTAATATTTTATATATTTCAATGAAAATAAATATGCTTTAGTTTTAAGTTATAGAAAAGTATTTTTAAAATACTATAATTATAAAGTAACTGTCTCAATTCGTTAATACACAAAAAATTGTATTACAATTGATATCAAAAAATGTAGATAATGTACCTAATTCATAGAATAAGTGAAGTTCTAGGTTTAAATTGTATGAGGTAGATAGCAACCTTTTTGTATTTACTTATATTACTCTCCTGTAAAATTTTGTCTATCGTAGTTACTGTGCTATGTATTTAATAGCCGCATACTATAATATACCTAAGCTAAAAGTACAATATTTTAATTATAGCCATTATTTTCTTTACTTTAAATATTTGTAATATAATTGCTGTTAATTTTTGTTAACTAGTTTTTATTAATGCGAAATTCTAATATTATTATTTTTATTATTTATTCTAAGTAATATTCGCATATTATTATAATTTTTAATTTACTTACATAAATAAACTTATTAGATTATTTATTTTGCATGTTAAATTGTTTTAAACTATTTATCTAAATATTGTACGTGGTGATTTTTAAATACAATTTCATTACAATTAAGTATTATTTGCATGTCCTTTGTATTGAACACTTAGTATTTAAATTGATTTTACTTTATTTCTTCAGTTATGCATTCATTATAATAGAATTATTTATTTTTCTTTTGATTATAATCAAATTTAAGGACTCATTTGTTGTTATTATAATATTATAAAGTACACTATTAGAGGTAAGTATAATTCAGAAACAGTTACTTGTTAAAGATTCAAATGGAACTACCTTTTAAAATTATGAAATAAAAAATACTGATATACTTCATATGTGGGTGCAGCCACGGTGTAGATGGGAAGTTGGGAAGAATACAGAAGAGAATTTAATGTTTATCTGTAAACAAAGATAAACTATTATAAATGAAAAACCAATTCTGAGCCGAGTTCAGTTGATTGTGATGCTTTTTTTTTAATATTTAAATATATATGTAATATTATGGTAAAATAATAAAATAGACATTATACATTTTCTTTAATAATATTTGTTTAATACTGTACCGTTTTCCCAATTTTTTTCCCCAAGCTTTCACATTTCCTGGGAAAACTCTTGGGAAAATTGTACAATGACCTCTTAAATGTACACCCTCGAAAAAATTTCCTTTCAGAAAAGTTGTTACATTAAATACATCGGAGCAAAGTTCTCTGGTAGCAAAGTTGTCTACAGATAAAGAAATTGTAAAACTATAAGCTTCACTCCACTTAGAATTTCAAATGAAATTGTGTAATTTATGATAGGGCTATACAAAATTTGTATCCTTTATTTGTTACTAGCTGTCTCGCCAATGCTTTGCTATTGCTATAGATTTTATGGATAGTTTGTTTTTGAAACTCATCTTGCTTTTTTCTGTCGTGCTTCAAACGTTTTTAGGAGGTATAACTGAATAAATGACGTTGAAATTAAATTTCAAAATTAAATTAAATTAATTTAAATTTGTTGAACGCTGATCAGCAATCAAAATTTCAATGAAATTAATAAACAATATTCAGTAGATATCATAGATACTATATAATGAACAAAAATAATAATAATATTTACTTTGTTACTAAAGTAATCTAATCAACAAAAATTATATCACAAAATACCAAAATCCCCGTGTCAGTTATCCTTTAGGGGTTGAATTTTAGAAATTTTGTTAAATTCCCGTTAAAATCGGTTTTGTAGTTTTTGAGTCTATAAAAGACATACAGACACACATTCTTTTATATACATGTATAGATATGGCATTGGGTCCAACAAATTTAAAATCGCCTCCCCCCCTTTAATATTTTATCAAAACCGCCACTGGTATAATAAGTACGTGTTTTTATCGACACAATATAGGTATACGTAAATAAATTATAATACAATCCGACCAACCGCGCGTATACACACTATACAAATTTTGTCAACATATTACGCTGCAAGTCTATTCAAGGTTTTATCCAACCAATTGCACGTTTTGGCAACACTACCGTCAATCATTCTATCGACAGATAGATTACCACGCGTTCGCGTCATACGTCATTCATACGAATATGAATACACCTATATCTATTACTCCTTTATAATCCCATAATCTTTCCAACACCCCTTTCATTCCTCTCCTTCTCTTCTTTCCACCCTTTCCCCATTGCTCCCTCTTCTCTAAACTAATTTTATTCTACTACAATACTAATATTATAAGTGATTTGCAACGTTGTTGACGATATTCTACGATGTTTTTAGTGCGTGTACAAGTAAAAAGTAAAAAAAAAGTGAAAAAATAATGACTGATAGATAACAAAAATTACATCAATCAAATATTTTACAATCATACAATAAATGTAATTTTCACATTAAAATGTCCAATTTTAATATGCAAATTAAAAATTTGTAAAATAAGACTATCAAATTTCAATTTTAGATTTTGAGTAAAACGAAGAATTAATTGATTTTACAACGTTGTTTTTTTTTTTTTTTTTTTTTTTGTTTATCTATAAATGACTTTTCTATCAAATATTTTTCTCAGATTTTCAAGAGTAGCACTAGGGAAATATGATTAGGTTAGTACATTAAGGGGGTAACTTTTTGATTTTCAAAAGGGTTTTCATAATAAATGGGAACCTAACCTAACCGGAAACTGTACGGAATGTATTTACTTTTAATAAAGTTTTCCATTAGTAAAGATTAATAATTGCATATAGATATAAATTAAATTCTCTCTATATATTTGTAACATTTTACCTACAACGGTGGCCCACCCAACTAGTATACAAAGTATATCCAAATTTGTTGTTTTTGATCTAGTGGTGATCTGATGGTAAAAGCCTTATAATTTTTAAATAGAAAATCTCGAGAGTTTAAAAAGTTACCAACCACTGTACTAATGTATAATATTGATTAAAATAAATTAACATTCTTAGTTATAATCGATAAGGACTAGATTATTCGGGGAGGCTGAATTTTGGAAGGCTAACCCAATTCCTCTCCCTAGTTGTGCTAATGTCAACGACTATTAAATTTCTAAATTTCAAATCGCTCACATACATAATATTATTATAAATGGACGGTATTTGCATAATATAGTACCTAAACTAAACGTGTCTGCAGCGTACATTTGTGTTAGTGAACGAATGTTAAGTAAATTATAGGTCCAAATCGTGCGCATAAACACGATAATACAATATGTTATGATGGCGTATTGATTAAACCAGCTCAGTCTACATTATAAACAACAACGTTTCGGCGGCTCAAAGGCTTAACGCTAAAACCGTATAACATATATTGCCGATCGAGGAAACCGCTGATATTTTTTAATTTACTAGTGTTTTTGGAATTTAATAGAAAAATTTATACTATATTTCATTGTATTGTGTCTACTATTGCTATAAATACACATTTATCTTGTTCCCGCTACTTTGAGACACTATTAGCGACTCCCTCTCGACCAAATTAAGTCGAAGTGATAATTATAGTTAAATGAAATTTCACTCGTAATTTTGCGATAGGAAAATTCTTTTTAGTTTCATACACACCTACAGACCTAATGGATACAATTGAGTACATGTATGACTATCAAGTATCAAGAAATTGCATTTTGGGAGTTTCAACTTTCAACGCTATCCTAACATTTTTTTTTTTTACCAAAATTTAACTATTTTTTGGAGATGTATTAAACAGTGTTTTATTACATTATAATTTTATTCTATATTTTTTTTTTTTTTTTTGGTTTAAAAATTATACATTTTCTTTATAACACAAAATAATTGAAGAAAAATGCGCTTCTAGTGATGGAGCTTTGCAACTTCTCGCGGTTATTATTGTTTATATATATGTATAAATAATAACAATTTCGGGTTACAATAAGAATAACTGCCAAGTAAAGTTTAAAAAGAAAAAACAACTGTTACCTATAAAAAAAATGTTTATGTATTACATATAATATAATATACATATATAACGCAGTGCTGACGGATTTATTTTATTGTCAATGAGAACTGCAAACGGACATACTGTGAATAATACTGTAGTGGCAGTGGCATGCCGAGCGGTGTAAAAAAACGATAAGCGTACCGTGTAAATTCAAATATGTTATACTTACCCATATAAACCTAGCTATTCTCTATATGTAATCGGATGGACCGTTTCGATTGTCTATATAATATATACGCACTTCCGTTTTTTAAGCATCGAAATATAAACGTAAAAAAAAATCATCGTATTACATTTGTTTCGGCAAGTATATGTGTGTACAGTGTTAACATATAAGTATATGTCGAATTCGTTACGCGGCGTTGAAACACGAACGTTGTAGTACCTACTTGGAAACAAAAACATTCGGAAAAAGGTGAACAAAAAAAAAAAAAAGGTCCATTAGCAGTATTTTTTACGGACTCTTATATCTCGGTAACAATATTATGTATTTTTTATTATTTTTTTTATTTAAAGCCTCATACAATTTTTCTCCTAGGTTTCTTCCTTATTGGAAAGTACAAATACCACGTCATAAGTATATATAATACAATATTACCGAAACGCGCCTTTTGAACAGTCAACTCACGACCCTGACGATTAGTACGCTAATATTACGACAATGTTCGTGATCGCGTGTCAAGTCGAAGTGTTCTGGTTCGGAAGTGGACGCATATCCAAAAGAGGAAACCCTATGATAACCAGAAAGTTTTATAGGGATGAAGACTTCAGCCATGTAGGAGGTGTTTAGGAAATGATTACGTGACTTTTATTTTAAAATTTAATTTGTATTTTCTAAATGGAAGGACACTCTCCGCAACGTGAAAATGCGATTTCGTCACATAAAATGTTCGGATTATAGACCTAATATCTATGGTTCGCACATTTAACTCCGCAACCCCTCGTCTGTTGTATGGCACCTAAATATTGAGTATAGAGAGATAGAAATATCGGATGGATCTATAGTGAAATAGAATATATTGTTATTTATATATTCCATATACGAGTAGAAATAACCAAGGACCAAAGTCTTAAAACAGTGGTTTTCAACGGTTGATCGGAAGATAATATTATTACCGATTAAAAATACTGCTTTTTAAAAATCCATAGTGTATAACCATTTCAGGTATAAAGAGCGGGGGTAAAAATTGAATATAGTGTCAAAATAAAGCCTTAACGATTCACTTATGGTTCAAAATGACGTAATGGCTGAAAATCCTCCAAGAAAATTACTGGTTCATGATAAATGAATCACTCTGTCAAATATAACAGAGACAGTATAATTTCATTTAGTCGAAAAAATGGTTGAACTCAACTATAATAACATAAAATGTGAAATAAAAAATTCAGAAAAACCATCCAATATCCAAAAAAAAAAAATTCAAAAATTGCATGGAAAAAATGGATATCAATATACAAGGCTGACTACGATTCTAGGTTCTGTTGAGCAAGTATTCTGAAGGTCAGAAACTTGTTCAAAAATTGTTTATATAATATCATATACAGAAATTAAAAGAAAAATATCATATAATATTACGCTTAGAATATAAGATATTTTTTTTTCTTAGCGAGGAAATTGCATCTATTTTTGTCATAAGCCTCACATTTTGAGTATATTTCCGCTGCCGGTTTTGGGGTTCACTCCGCCGCGTGGTAACTATATATTCTACACGATCCTCGATAAAAACATCACTGTTTTAGAGGATGCACTTAAGTTCAACTAAAAATATATAAATCCGTTCCAGTGCAATGTCAGCAAAGTTATTACATCAACTTTTTCGATTACGTACACACTCCTTCACTGAAGCGAATTAGAATTTGTCCATTACAATAAGTTCAACCTTTTACGTGTATCTACTACTCGATTGAGACACTCTTTAAAAACGGACAACTAATTTCAGGGTATAAAACTAAACGTGATAAATTTTTAGCAGGTAAGGAAATGGAGATGCCAATATTTTTTATTAGTAAAAAATAAAAAAATAATACAAATACATCACAATTTTATGGAAAAAAATACATTATTCATTCGGCACTGCATGTGTTTATATCATTCATAATTTGTTCATCGTTAAAATACAAAAAATACATTTCATTACTTGTCATTTTTCCATTCCATTTTTATTTATGGTGAAACTTATCTACTAGTGGGATTTATTCGGATAATTACACCACAAAAGACATAAAAAAAAAAAAATGAACAGCCGTCTAATATCCTATTCGATTTAAATCGACTGCGAATTTCTTTTGGTAAAATGAGGACGTTTATAACACTTCATTTTTTTTTTTTTTTTTTTTTTTTTTTTTTTATGTATGAGATCCATTTCTTATTCATTTTCTTCCCTCTTTGTGCCAACAATCACATATAAAATATTATGTTTGAACTTAAAACCATTAGAGTTTAATTGTTTTATTTGAAATTACAAAATTATATGGATTAAACAGTTTGAGTTTCATTTTTGAGATTTACAATAATAATTAGTAAAATAGTTTACCTGGTTTATTGCGTTTACCAAAGATATGTAGATAATAAAATAAAATAAAAAAAATTAATCGATAAACAATATCTGATCTCGACTACATTCTGTTTTTTTGATAAAAACTAATAATTTTCTTAATTGTTTGAATTTAATCTAGTAGATGTTTTATTATTATTATAGATTTTGATACACAAAAATATAATTAAAAATTGTATTTCATAAATAAAAATTAATTTACTTGGAGTAAATTTTAAAATTATACAAAATACAAATTACATTATTCATTGTAAAAAGTCGTACTTATATTCTGTAGTGAAATTACTTATACATTTTCTTTAATAATATTGTTCCTATCCCTCTCCTCCATTTTTCCTACTTTTTCTCCGATTTTTCCCAGGTTTTTCCTGGTTTTTCACATGTATTATGAAAACAGCTGGTAAAATCAAAACACGACGTCCCTAAAGTACCACTCCAGTCAGATTTCTATTCAAAAAAAGTGATTTAATCAAAAATCAGAGCAAACTTACCAATATAAAAATATTCACGGATAAACCAAAAAAAAATAATAATAATAATAAACATTATTGTAAAACCAATACATTCATAAATTCAGAATTTAAAATTCAAAAATATGCAATAACAAATAAATCCAAGCTCTAGTTAATATCTATTTTATTTAATATTTTTATCTATGTTATCTGTATTATATATATTCTAAAGACGTATTTTGTAAATTATTGACACCATGGTTTAGGATATAATTGTTGTAGACTTGTTTCTGAGAATTATTTGTCTTTTATGTGTGTTTAGATGCATGGAACTCAGTTTGGAGATACGGCGTTCATATTAGTTTTGCAACAATGGTATTTTACTGCTTACATGTTTATTGCAATCTAAGAGCTAGGTAGCTCTTACTATATACCATATTGTTACCGGACCTTTAAAACCGTGTTTATATGTTAGTAAATGATATAGTATATAATCATCAATAATCAATATTTTTGTAGTGGTAACACTTATAGATTCCATGGGCGTTATTCGATTTTAAATATTTGTGTTTATAACAAGTGTCAAATAAATAAGGCATAACATAGATAATTTTAAGATATTATTATATATGACATATATTTATTACTTTATGCTAAAATTTATACTTCTTACTTATTAAATAGTAGACAAATTCCTACTGCAAATTCAATTGAATTGTATTTTATAGTAATACAGTTTAAAGACAAGAATGGCTTTAATTAAATTCCATGAGAGAGGGGTAAAATATTTAAATATTTGATATAAAAATTATTTTCTGAAATTAGGATGATATAAAAATTATATAGATAATTGTACATTTAGTGACTTAAATACATTATACAGCAAACGAGTGGAGAAAAGCGAATGATATCCCCTTGAACCTAAAACTGCTTTTCTTAAAAATTAGGTTTATTAGTTTTAGAGCCCCAATTTTACCTTTTCATTGGGAACCCAAAAATCTAGTTGCGTCAATGCGTATGCATTAATCTATAATTCAGTTCAATTTTTATACCTAATTTATTTATAATTTAACCATTTAAAAATCTATATCTATATTAATTTTAATCAATAATGGTTTCAAAAAGAAAAGAATACCAATATCCTAAATTAGTATAAATTATTGACTGTGGTAATTTCCACAAATGCAGATTGCCAATATATATTTTTTAACCTTGATAAATTATTCATAATTAATGAATAATTAATAAGATATGATAAATTCTGGTATCTCGTGCATTTTGATAAGTAATAGAAAAATAAAAATAGAGTAACAGTAAAATATGTAATATAATGTCTAAAACATTTAGTCAAAGTACCTAAGATACTCAATCTTCCTGAGTCATTCTGATTCGAACAAACTGGTAATGTTGGGACGCAAAAATGAATGTAGTGTCAATGGTATGCTCAGGAATTTCCAATGGTAGGAGGTTTAGTAAATTCATGAATAAATTCTTGAATATTCTTCTGTTATGTCTAATCCAATAATGAGAAATTAAAATCTGGATCCATAAACGCTAATTTTTATATTCGATAAATCAAACTTTTTCTCTTGTAACTGGGCTTATATATATATATATATATATATGTATATAATTTCAAGATACAATAATTGTTGTATTTTTCAGACAATAAGGTATATATAACTCCTACCCTATTATACGCACACTGCTGAGTAAATAAGTAGATGTGTACAGGAAACCTGTCATTTGGTGATCAACCGGTCGTGGACAGACGTTTGATATACAAAATTCGTTGTCAATACGCGGTCCAGATAAACAAGATGATGACAAAAAGCTCATGAAAGAATTCGTCGGAATAAAAGGAACGACGTCAAAAATATTGGCAACCAAAACGCCATCGCCTGTACGTTGCACAGTGACAGTGCGATAATTGAATTACGGTCGGCGGCGGCAATCGTTGCCAAAGGCCGTTCGCATACTTTCCGCCTCTCTCTCTCTCTGTCATTTACAATAATAATAATAATCATAATTATAATAATATCGTCGTCATCGTTGTGTGCTTTCGAACCTTTGGACGCGACAAAGATCCCGGAAAATCGGTCGAATGGACGGTGCAGGCAGTGACAGTCTCCCGGGGGACCTTGCAGAGGATCAGTATACGAGAAATCCTAATTTTACCCCTTAATCACTATATATCTACTGCCGACATTTCGGTCTAATTACTACAGTTGGACGAAAACATAAAATCTGTACACATGTACGTACCGGCTCATAGTCATCATGCCAGAGTGACCATTTAGCCCAGTGTTACCAACGAGGAAGCGAGAAATTTAGGTAAATATTGAGGGATAATATAGTGATTATGAAATCAATTTTTTAAAATTAAAAACAATAAATCAGATTAAAGAAAAGTTAGTTGTATTATTATTATTGTTGCGTGCCAATAGAAATACAATTTTAATGAATGACACATTTATAGGTTATCTGGTGTTCTATAGTTAAATTATTCGATAATCGTTAATGTTATCATTTTTACATTCATAATAATATGTCAATTGAGAAGGACTTTTCTTTTACAAATAAAAATCAAACAAACATATCGATTGGATGTGGAAAATTACATTCATTTTACGTTATTAACAATTATCTCATAGTGACTTGATGACTTAGGGAGAAATAAACAATCGCATACTTCAAACTAAAATAAAAGCTTTTTTTACTTATCAAATAGTGATAATCGTGTTATTTTATTTAAACTTTAAGTAAAAATATTAATAATATATCTATTTTAATAATAACAACTAAAAGGTTGAATTCTTTTAAAATTCTTGAGAGGGAGGCATGCGATTTTTGAAAATCTAAAAGGGAGTGTGGAATAAAAAAAAATTGCAAAACAGCTCAGATTCTAGACACAAATTGTATTGCCACAACCAACTCGCAGCCATACTGTTTGGTGGCTAGAAGCGAAAAACACCAGATCATTCTATTAATTGGTTTACATTTTTTGTTTAATCATTTTAAATTTGTTATTAGGTACTCTGGGATATTCATTGCCATATCCTACTCTTCCAGTCTAAATTGTAAACTGTTATGAACCCAAAACTCATAAGTCAGTAATTACTTGCAGCACCAGAGTTAATGTTATCTACCACGTATATCAAAATGTTCAGAAAAATATTATTTACTTGAACATGTGTTAAAAATGAAAGATTCTTTTTTAAAGTTTAGGTATTTAAGGTAATTTAAAAAAGTATAAAACTAATAGGGCATAAACGATTCTATAATGGTTTTAAAAAAAAACAGACATCAAATTCATTTAAAATTTTCTTAGAATATCGCTGATTTATGATAAATAATCCTGTATTATATCAAATATTCGCGTTGAAATATCAGATGGCAAAATTGCTTGGTGATAAGTTTATAGCGGCAAATTGGTAGTAGCATAAGCATATATATATAAATATTATATTTAACAAATTCAAAAACTACTTTAAGATCACTAGTGTGAATTATATTTATTTGCGTCATCTGTTTCGGTGATATACGTACATAGGGCCGATGTCCAATAAAAATCCGGTTCATTGTTTCATAAATATATAAATACATATTTAAATTACAACAGTTAACAAAACATGAAATATTTCGAAAAATACACGTAAAATCGAAGTATTCAAAATTTCCAACAACCGCTGAATATGTTTTCAGAAAATATCATTGGAACGAAATTTTTTAAATTTATTTCTCTAACCATGAGGTTCGTGTATTGTTCGTCCTTGCACATGAGTACGATGACCACCACGTTTAAATGATTCATCACTGACCCATGTCGCTATTATTCAACATATTACCAAAAGCCACAACAACAGCAACCGTTCCCTTACCCCGTCGATTTTGGCCACCCAATGACATTCTTTTTTATGTTATTTTTTTTCATTTTCATTTTTGACAAACAAAAACAATTGCCACCGCCACAGAAGCTATTGTTCCCACCTCTCCTCCTCCCGCATCGATGACCCACAACCCGAGATATCGACGAGAAAACAAATGGGCTTCGGATGGAGAACGTATGGAAAGAGGGAACTACTATTCTCGCGGGATGAAAAACTATCACTGAACCAAAAATTGATACTTGACTTTCACACAACAAAAAGCGGGTTGACACATAATATAATAACAGGTTGGAAAAAGACGTCATCCGGGTCGGTCGGCCGGTCAAAACTAATGGTTCTACGAGTGTGGTTTTGTTTTGTTTTTTTTTTTCAAATTTTCTTCAAATAATTAATCATTGATTAATAATCATCTTAAAATAACTAAAGATTAAAATTAAGCATTTATAACGAATATTATAACCGACATTATTTTTTTAATTCGTTTATTTTTACGAGATGTTTGAGTACAAAAACAATTTTAAAATAATGTTTATACAATGTTTTAATTTTATCGAAAAAAATTAAAATTAAAAATAATAATACATAGTGAAGGTCAAAGTGAGATAAGTAAAAAACTATTGTATCCCTTTAAAAATCTATAATTTGATTATTTATAGATAGTATTGGGTAAGCTCTCCTAAGTATCACTTTCTCGTAATAATTTTTTCAATAATAAATTCTGACAATTACAACTGACCCTGTTATTTCGCATCAAAAAATGTCAGTATAAAATCATCTGGGAGAAAACCGTTTTTTTTTTTTAAATTTAACATCATATAATGACATCATTTATACGACTGATCGTTTTTTTTTTTTTTTTTTTTTTTTTTGATTATTTATATATATATATATATATATATATATTCTTAGGAAGTTATGAATATGGATTATTTTTCATTGAATATTTTTAATCCTTTTTTTCTGTCCTTTTCCAGGTTATCGTTCAATTCATGTTCTATTTCAAATAATGTACGTATTTTAAGTATAATAATTTTCCTTAATTTCACATTATACAATATTAATCGATAAATTAATACGAACTGTGGAATAATAATAATAATGAACAATAAAGGCAATAATTTTATAATAAAACAAGTTGAGATCAAAAATAAATAAATATGTATTCTAGAATAATTATTAATTCGAATTATTAGGAACAATCACTATATTTATTAGATTCCGAGCGAAACGAGTTAAACATTAGTGTTATTGTAAAATGTATTTGTAAATGTTTAAACTTTTTAAATATGCATTCCGATTTCAATAGATGATATTTTTAGCGTCTTTGAAGACGCATTCATAAGAAGTACGCAATAACGAAACAGCATTAAATATGAGTTTGTCGTCAATAAACAAAAAAATAGAAATGTAAAAAATAAAAAATATTGATTGATCTAAAGAAAATTATGTATTCATTTTTATGTGGAATGATATTGATTGTTTTTAATTTTGAGGTGATAATGCTAATAACGGATTATTATTACTATAAAACAAACTTCCTCGGATAAAGTATAATACGAAACACCCTTTCGACCTATAGTCTAAAAAAAGGCACCCATATAGTTAATCTAGTGATTATAACATTTTCAAAAGAATATAAAGTTGGCCAATTTCCCAAATTATAGTATACACAATTTACGTACTAAGTTACAATGTAACATTACTACGAAAACACGATCCAAATAATATAATAGACAAACATTATCATTGTTTTTACATCGTGATTATATTATATTACCAGTAAATAAAAAAGATTCATGGCAATTTATTAAACGTAATGTTTGTAATGTTACCTTCCTATAATTTACAATAATTATAGAGTTTTAGATTTTGGACGAATACCAATTAAGTTGTTTGTTATATTAATATGATAATTATAATTATAATACAATTAATTATAATTATAAAATTATTTTTTCATGAAATATTATGGGTATCAAGTCACTTTTATTTTTGATATCAGTTTTACATTTACTCCCTATTTAACTATTAGTGGACAGTGGTGGATCTAAAGCTCATATAAGAGTACGCGAATTGGTATTATTTGTACTTACAAAACCGTAACTGAAAACACAATTTCTTACACATTTTATTTTTACTTTCAAGAGTACACCACGGAAAACTTCCTCTCCCAGTTTTATTTTTAGGTATCTATACATAAATAAAAGTACTATCTTTGTTTAAAAATCCAAGGGTGAAAGAGTTGATCACCACGTCATTCTCCTTCAAATCTGACACAGTTAGTAAATCATTTAGTTCTTAAACAGTTATACAGCGTGTTCAACTATAAACGTAACACGATAATTGTCAAATAGACGACATTGAATTTTATCTTGCTAGTAGAATATCATATTAATTACATAAACAAGTACACACGTTTATTCTCAATTCAAAGAATAGACGTTTATAAAAAATAAAACAAATTAATTTTTTTCCAACCTTATTAAAATAATAAAAGCACTATTTTCGTCAATTTTCCCGTTTTTTCTAGTTTTTTTTTTTTTTTTGCTTTGCTCAGTTATTAAAAAATAAAAACTACAAAGAAAATCAAAAAATAATAAATTAAAAAGGTTTCCTGTTGTCTTTCTATTTGGACAATATTTCTAGGGAAAAATGTAAAGCGAAAATATTTAAAATAAAAAAATTGTAACGCCGTATTTTTGTCAGTTTGCATTTTACATTTTTCTAGTTTCTCCTAATTATTATGAAAATCTTTAGAAAATCAAAAACCGAATTATCTAACTGACTATCTAGATTACTCACCCAATAACTAGATGAAAAATGAAACAAAAAAGTCCCTTGTCTTTTTTATATTGGAACGATACTACTGCTAGAAAACATAGTTTGTAAAAATTAAAAACAATAAAATTGGTACTTAAAGTTAACACACACTGTACATTTTTACAGTATTTCCAGTAATTTGTTTACCAGTTTCCCTAACTATTCTGAAATCCTCTTGGAAAATCCAAAAATGACCACCTTGATGCACCAACTAGATAAAATATACATTTAGAAAAGGTGCTACACATGATACATCGGAGCAAGATTTCTAGTAGAAAAATTGCTCACAAACACAAAAAAAACCATACACATCATAATCGCTACGTTCAGAATCTGAAACATATTATTAGAAATTCCGAAAAATTTGCTAAATTAAATACCATAGGTCGGAAAATTTGACTTGTAGAAATCAAACATTTGTTTAATTTTAGAACGTTTTTACTAACTCAAAACTAATAGCTTCTAAACTACACTCAGACACTCAGAGTCTATAAAACAGTTATTATGTACCTAAAAATATTCAGCTGTTATTTTAATAGTAATTATAGCATTCATTAGCTCTTAAAACTCTAAATTTTCCGAAAATTATAATTTTTAAAATTCAAACGTATTATTATATTTTGTAGTTAACATTGTTTATTATGTTACTTAAACAAATATTTTTTTTGGCACCAACACATACATACACGTATATAACTACAATAAGTCATGTGTGTGTGTGTGTGTGTGTGTATGTGTAATATTTTAAGATGCCGAATAAGACAATAGAAAATAATAAATGAATACCCTGCTATAGTCTCCGAGGAATTCTCCTCGTAAAAGAATTTCGTTAGACACGGTGGATTTCAGTGTAGAATTCCTTACATTGCATTCTGTTGTACCTCTACTCATACACGTCATAATATAATAATACGATCAAACTCTTATGGTGCCGTCCGAAGACTGCAACCCAATCTAATTTACTTATTTAATTCTACCAAACCCACACGGCGACACAATTGAATTTTTAAATAAATAATAATATCAATAATGATAATAAAAGCGGTGTCTCGTTACATCTTCCACAGAGTTATTTTCTTTTTACAATTAAATTCGTTTTTACATCCCGAGTGTAACGACTAAGAAATGTTTTTTTCCTCGGAATATACTTGAGTTTAATAAAAATGCACTAAATTGATTACATCTTAGGCTTTAATTATACAACTTTATTTGAAAATGTTTTCTAAATTTCCTGTACAGTAAACTGAAATAGCTGACAACATAATATTACCGTACATTAGGTGTTTATTTTTAGTACAATAGAAAACCATAATTTATCTTATATCTAACAAGTATTTGACGAAATCCACTAAGAATAATTTTTTGTTTGCAATGATTTATCGTTGCTTTAATTATAACAATATAACATAAACTAAATAATCCTATTTTCTACTTACCTTTTCAACTTTCTACCTTCAACCGTGAACTTAGTGGATTTGTTTTGATTTTTAGTCTATCAATAATGTCTCATGTCATATAAAATTGTAAATTGAAAAAAAGTCCATTTAAGTTTAAAACTGCGCTTATCTAAGTTTTATAAACTTTTAAGTAGGGACATTTCGGACACACACAAGTCACAAAACACAAAAAACAAAATCAAACACAAGTCACAAAATCCGTGTAATAAATAAACCAGTGTAATAAAGAATCAATTTAATATAAGCGATACGTCTGTTACTATTCGAATTCATCTTATAACGATCAATTTAAAATATCACATTACATTATAATATTATAACAATGTCTTAAATTAAAATAAATATCTCGAAATTTTAAATTCAAATGCTGCATACACCATGCAGCATGCATCATATTATAAAATCAACAAAAACCTATATTAATACACTGTTGTAGGTAGGTAATTGATGATGGAAAAAAGGTAAAGAGTATGTTATTTTGTATACTGTATGCAACGATAAATTATTTTAAACGAAAAAAACGATTCTGAACAGAATAGTATCGTTTTATATCATATCATCCAGATAACCCTGAAATCGTCAAACAAATTACCTAGGAAATGAAAAGGTGGAAAATATCAATACATTTTTTAATTTAAGTGTCACCGAATAGAAATTTCGCATAATTATTCGGCACTATGTGAACAAATTCGAGCGTTCTCATACGAATGTTATTTATTTTTTTCGAAAAAAAGTATTGGGAGTTTCAAAAAATATATCAAGTAAAGTATCATCAAGCAAAATTTTACATCTTTTAAAGTATACTATACAAAAATAATTTTTACTTAACTTAAAAATGTTTTCCAAGAAAAAAATTACAGATCTATGTAAACTAAAAATTTTAAATCAATAAAAATATAGATATATTTATAATTGTATTAACTATGCCTGTTGTATGTATTTAACTGATTATATTATTATAAAAAATACAATCTAAATAAAAGAACATTGTAAAACACGATATGATAAGCTTGTCTGTTGTACGCTATTCGTTTAACTCTAGTCATATTTAAATATTTAGGCATTACGTTTCCTTTTAAATTTACATTTCAAGTTGGATTTTATTTGATTTTATGAATAACCGGTTTGTAGGATATGTAATATTCATTAACATTCAATTAGTATGTAGTAATAATATATCAAAAGCCCCAGAGAATAAGGGTTTAAGTAAATCGTTATCATTTTTATATTATAATTAATATATACAGTGAAAATGTTTCTTTTTAATTTTTGGTTTAAATGGAGAAAGATACGGATCTATTTTAGAGGTTAGAGTAAATAAAAGGAGAGCTATTAGAGAAGCAAAACTAATATACCAGAAATTCAGTATAAACACGAAACCTGAGTAGACGAGTCAAGTAGGTGGGCCATGTTTGGAAGTTTAACAGAATTTTAAAGACAGCTCTCGTAGGGAAAATACAAAAGGTATGATCTAGGAGTCGACCTATACAAAAACTGGCAGAAGAATAGAGTCAGATGGATGAATTAAATAATTTAGTAGAGACAGTAGGAGTCCTTGCAAAGAGAAGAAATAGAATAAGAGTTTATATTTTTAAAATATTAGTTTATCAGTTTACGTACAACAATTTGAATTTTCAAAATTTAATTTATTTGTATTGAAAAATATACATAATGATTTAAGCCATTAGACCAACGATATATTCATAACATAATAGTTGTGCATTATACTAGTGTGTATTATTATATATATCATGGATTTTAAAATTGTACTTATGTTATTACGAAATTTTATCCCTTAGCAAAATAATAATTATCGTGTGTATGGAAATGTTATGGAATACCTACTTATAGTGTGATTCCATACATTTTCAATTTTTAAAATTTGTTGTTCGCTATTCTTCGATACTCAAAAACAAACTCGACTAATCTAAAACTTGTGTACTATGCTAATTAGATATACAACAGGCAGAATAATAATAATAATATAAAAAACAAAACCACTTTTTTTTGTTTTTTCGCCAATAGTTAAGAACGCAAAATAGAATAAAACAAAATTGTCTAGAAAACATTTTTCACTGCATAAAAACATTAAAAACACAAAATACAAAGGTGGATATTTTTGAAGATTTATGTTTAGTATTTATAATATATTATTTCATACTCTTTGAAAACTACTAAATAACTGGTATCATTACTTGATATTTTATTAGGGAGGGAATACAACATAGATTAAATGGAAATTATACAGAATAATTCGAATATTTATGAAATTAACATTATTTCGTGGTTATTATGTAAAATACATAATTGCTTAGAACAATTGTAATTATTATTTATTATTTTATTATTTTGATATAGCCACTGGCAGCTAAAGCTACCACTTGGATAGCCTCAAATTGTGTAAGGTTAACTCTCAAATTACTGTATTAATTTTATAGAAATAACTAATTAGTTTCACTCTTGTATAGGTAAGTGTAATACTATATGCAATATTTTTATTGTATATCTAACAACGTTGTTTATATATTTTTCTTTGATTGGAAAGCAATCGCTATTGTCCTTTCGCAGATTCCTTTAGCCTTGTGTGAGGAATACCGCACAGAAATTCTACAAAAAGTTTTAGACCTTTAGGCAGTTTTACGTTTATAAATTAACTTCTTTCGAGACTATAGTATAGAGAAGTTTTTCGTGGATTGAATCGGACACGCCGGACATAAATTCGTAGTACAAGAGCCCCGCGGAAACAATCCGGCCGGAAATTAAGGTAATCGAGTTTGGTTTGGGGAAGTTCTTTTTCACGAACAACTATTGCGGCAGTTAGAAAATGGTTGAAAAGCGAAGATACCAAAACAGTGTTAAGGCGGGGGGATGAAGAGACCATCAATTAAACCTCGCTTGCGGGCCCACTAGCTAAATTTGCAAGAGACAATAAATATACACCCGGTATATCTGATTCAGTGTCTAAAACCCCGCACCTGCTATGCACCTTCCACTTATAATGTTATCCGAGTGTAACTGTTTTCTCTCTTTTTTCACTTTCCCTTCTCTTTTTACACTGAGCGACGCATTTTTGCCACGATATTTTCTCACCCCTAGGGAGTGATAATACGCGCAAAAGCGACTGATAATGACCACATTTATTCATTATACCCGTGCTATAGTATTTACTGCGTGGCGAGGGCAAAAATAGTGCTTAAAACTCGCAAACACGGTACAAAAAGATAGAAAATAGGGTGAGAATAGGGAGAGAAACAAAGAGACAGAAAGAAAGAGAGAGAGAGAGATGACGAGAATACAAAACTCGTCGTCTGCAGCAGTGACGTTGATACACCGTATTGTTACTTTAAAATGGCTTCGGATGAAAAAGACCATAAAAGGACGGCGCGAAATCGATTTAACCGCAGTCACGATTCACGACATACGGACGTCTGGCTCGGATCAAAGTGACTTTTTGTACATCACTACGAGCAGGTATACTAAGTGCTCCCCACGGTGCTATTGACGCGGTTGACACCAATTAGACGGCGGCAACGAAAAGTACAAGGAGCAAAAGGACAACGAATATTAGAACCGTAGTGCAGTATCTTAAACTCTTAATCAACACACTTCAAAGGTAGGTTAGGTTAGGTGTTGAAGCTAGAATGTGAACCCCAATAATGTAAATTCAGCAATATTATAATGCCCTCAATATGCTGATAGTAACGTTATACAGTAAGTCACTGGCACAGTTTATTTAGTTTTGTATGACAACCAATTGGCAAACACACGAGCATAAAATGTAGAATAAGTTTAGTAATATTTATAATAATATTATATTGTCGTTATCATGGTACGTTTTATTATTTCGCAAATGCACCTATGCTGCATGATAATCTGTTGCTTCATTATACTTCTCATTGTGACTGTCGTCGGGCCACAACACACCGCGAATTGTTATTTTTTTTTATAATCTATACACAAAGTAAAACATAATTTTGCTGAGTTTTTATAATCGTTGCCTTTTTTTTTTCATTTACAAATTTGAGCGTTATTCTAATAGTCACGTTTTGTTTATTTTGTTTATACGAGTTTATAAAAGGTTTATAATATCCATTATTGAATCGTTGGTATTATATATTCATCGCGATACAGGTATCACATGACTCTTATTATCAATATTTTATTTCGAATTATTGTGTTCGATGCATAATATCATACAATGAATAGCTAGCTTGAATAGTCAAATATTTATAAATTTGTGTTTATGAGTTTCTGATAGATTTTATCAAGAAAAACGGCAGATAAGTTTATGAATAACATATTTTAATAAATTGTAAGTAGGTACTTGATTACTTTGTATATTTTTATAATAATGTTGGTGGTGTAGCCGTAAATTATATCTTTCTGTATACGTCTATCATGTTCAAAATAATTATTGTTAAACAGGTACACAGCATACAATTAATGCATTATCGATTAATTTTATCTATTATAGTCAGAGCCGGATATAGAAATATTGGGCCCAGAACCCATATCAGATAAAGACATTGGTTAATAGAGGTAAGTTTAGATTTTGAAACAAAATTTCTAAGTATTTAAATTCGCAAAGAATTTTACTATTAAATAGTAAAAGTGCTTATTTCGTGGGTCTTCTCATAAATTGAATTTTGGAATTTCCTGGGCATAGTGTCCTTAGGTCCTTCTACATCTGAGTTCTTTTCTACAGTAGTTTGGTCAGGGAGGTAAATCGGCAAAATAATATTTAAGGATATTATTTAAATAAAATGATAAAACCAAAGATTCATAGACTAAAACGGGGCTCATGTTTAACTTGGAAAAACTCAAAAAAATAGTTCTAACTATTAATATTACAAACTAAAATATATTTAAAAGTAGCACGATGAAGAACCGTAAGATTAACATTGAAACAAGGAAACTTTAAACAAAACGTTATCATAATAATAGTATGTATCCCATAAAACTTCATCCAAAGTCGCAATAATAACCAAAACGATATATTACATTATGTATGCCAATAAATATAATATTTTAACAAAACAAAGTAATAAATAAAAACTGATCTTAAAACTTAATTAAACTTGTCCTTGATAATACTTTTCAACAATCTTAAAAATTGTATATGGATAACAAATTTGAAAATAAAAAACAAGAAATGGAAATACATAATTAGTACAATGGGTGAGCCGCAGTTATAGATGAGAAGTTGGGGATTTAAAGGTAAAATGTAATGTACCTATATATTTGTACGCAACAATTAGTTATTGCTAACAAAAAACGATTTTAAGCAGAGTTCTGAGTACACATTTTTTGAAAGGCCGTAATATTTACGATTTGAAAATAATACATTTTGTAATATTTCCTTTTTTTCCTACGTTTTTTTTTTCGGGTTTTCCTATTTATTATGAATGCCTCTGGGAAAAATCAAAATAAAAACTACTTAAGGTATAAGTTCTCTAGTTCAATTTCCTTTCAGAGAAATTGCGACACTTAAAAGTCAGAGAAAATTTAGTGGTAGAAAAGTTGTTCACAGAAAAAAATAAAATAAAAAATAAACACCATTGTAAAACATTCTTCTTTCCGCTCACAATCTAAAAGAGATGAAAGGTGACAGGTGTGTTACTCTTATAGGTAGAAAGTTGGGAAGTTAGCGCACAATCAGTTATATAATTTATAACTGTACGCAATGATGAATCATTACTAACGATTAATAATTCTAAACGAAGGACTTTAATCAATAAACATACATTGATAATTATGTAAATTTTAAGTTAAAAAATAAAATAATAATATTGTCCGTGTTTTTTGACTTCAAATTTCATATCATTTTTATTGAATGATAGATATTTATAAGTAAATCAAATGATTTACTTACAATCAGATAAAAGATTTTTAAGATTTCCATCAAAATTTGTAATTTAATACAAAAAGTCAACACTTATTGTAAGTAATTTTGATATTTTTAAAGTAGCTTGTATCAAATTGTCAAATGGTTTTGAGAATCCCGAAATGTCTATCTAACAATGAAACTTGGAATATATTTTACTATAATACAAGAAAAAAGCATATTATATTACGGTATTTGAGGGGAGGGAAAATGCTCTCATTATTTCCCTTATTCTCTGAATTCGCTATTGAAATCTTATACCAATATAAATAATGTAATCATTAAACCAATGAGCCATAAATAATATGAAAAATAAAACGTAAATAATTAAATGCAAAACAAATTTGATAACAACTTTCCATGTAGCAACTGTAATTTCATAATATTTGTGCGATAATTGTTTTGCAATAACATAGCTATCTACTAAGATGTTAGCTAACTCTTTAGTCTCTCTAGCTATAAATAGCTCAAAATTTAACCGAATTTTTTGAACATTTTCCCACGTCTAGGAATCATGTCAGTTTTCGGTTTTACTAGTCATTCGGTGGCGCATTCACGTACCTACCTGTACGGTTACCGCATATACCACGGAATGACTATCACTTTAAATGTACGACACACGTTTACATTGTACACTGACCGTGAAAAAGTCAACCACCCGGCACGAGAGATTAAAGGGAAAGGGTGGACGGTATAAGTGATGGCATGCGATTTACCGGATCGCACGGTCGGTAACAGTGGGAAAGGGGTGTCGAAGGGTAATACAGAACTTTCACTTTAACGTTTTTGATCCATTCCTGCAGTTTTTCGACTCGAACGTACCCAAAAATACGCGTCACTCGGTCGAGTCCACATTTCGCGACAACGACGACGACGAAGAGTCTTACGATATTCCACCGATCCGCCACTTTATCGCCACCATCGTCGCCGTCGTTAATAATATTACCGGACCGGAAATTTAATTTCGATTATATTGCTTCGGCACGCCGTTATTACCAACGCACCACAGTAGGATATCTACACACCTACCTACGTATTATTACAATTGTTATTATTGAATACCATCGCATATACCCGTGGATGATGCAGAAACGTTACTATAATATACAATATTAATATTAATAATAATATATCTGAGCCCATTTTCGGTACGTGTGTATGTCCCGCTGTGGTCCGCATCTGCGAAATTTTCACGAATATCAAAATTGCGGTTTCAATATACCGTTTTCACCCATCACGTACAGTGAACGATCATCTTTTTCGGTCTCGCTTATTCCATTTTTGAAAATCCGGCTACCGATAATAAAAAGGATACTACAATTATATATTATTATACATAAAAAAACGACGATACCGGAATAACAAAAACGATTAAACCCATGGTTATTAATTTCTGATATTACGACTTTTACGCATTTACATTACGTTTATTGACCTATTTCAAAAGTTGGCCAATGACTGTAGTTGGAATGTTAATTTATAAGCTTTTATTTTTATACTTTCTAACTCAGCTAATTCAAAAAAAAATAAAAATAAAATAGAATGTTAGAAAATAACTTAGGTGATAACGTTTACAGACCGTTTTTAAAAATAGCATGATGCGTATCAAAAAAAAAAAAAAAATAGTATCACAAAAATATTTGTTAAATAGAATTATTTATAAGTTATGTGCTCTTAATTTAATTATGATTCTCAAAGATATTCCGTTAAACAAAACAATTTGATATAAGAAAGTTGCACTGTAATTTTATTTTACATTAGTTACTCTGTTAAAATACAAATTATTTTGCTTATTACTACACTTTAAAAAATAACACTATCAGTTATGCTCCTACATTTTTTTTTTAAATGTTTCGACTTTTAAGTGAGATTTCGTATTTATTCGTATCTTGTTTAAACATTAAAATGTCGAAACAACAACTAATGTATAAGCTGTGAGCACATCTATGACCTTTCCTAAGTTATGTACAAGATACATTCAGTCTACTAATAAAACTATAACGGTACAATGTTTTTTCTATGAGATGGATACGGTAGATGTAGCCATGCAGGTTTGATGTCTTCTTATGTGTAGTAATTTCATTCCTTTTAGGTTCCAAGTGTATTGGAGAAGCTATTATAAATACTTAAATGTTTTTATAAAGAAGTGATTTATCTCAGAAATCAATTATCGGAATAGTAAAAACATTCCAATTTATGTACGCATTACCATGAATTTGCAGAATTTTCGGCCGTTGATACTTTATAAGAAACTAATTTCTATATTCCCAATAGGTTTTCAATAAAATTTAAAAAAATCGTCAACGATACGTTTGTTTTATTGTTATTGATTTCTGGGTTATGATTGCTACACTTGAGGGAAAAATATGACCAGTATTATTCCGTTCAGAAACATGTTTTATTCTAATGATTTACTATTGCGTACAAATATAAATACAATTATTCTATATTTCCTCCAAAAATTTTTTTTTTTTTTTTATGGAAAACACTTGACAGGACGGTAAAAATCGATCCAAACTATAGTGATAAGTGATGAACAAAATAATATCATTACTATAATTATCTCATTCTAAAGTCATGGATATTGACGTCAGAAAATCGATAGTACAGTAATGTTTCACTTTTGAAATCATTGGGAAAAACGTAATTCCGAATTGAGAACCGTTTTTCCAACGCAATGATTTGTCACTGGCCTCGATTTACTTGAACAAAACGACCCGCATGTGTGTATTCTATTTTCCCGCCTCCGTGCCTAAAACAGTGGCCTAGCGAAATATGTCCATTGTTTTTTTTTCTTCGATGAATATTATTACAAACGACCGTTTTTTTGTCTTCCGTACACACGCTTTTAATTTGCAAAAGGTCTCTAGCTATATAATAATCTCCAACAAAAACGAAAATATACGACAATGTCCTTCCCACCCGCACAAATCCGGTTTATACAAATCGATCGCATGCAGTTACAATACTGAACCAAACAATAATAATATTATGAATACATTATATTCTATGTTAAATTAAATTCAGTGGCATTGGTTTTGAAACAATAAAAAAAATTAATTATGAAATTAATCGTTCAAACGGAACACGGTTCTTTTCAATTAAAACAATAATAATAATTGTTCGACATTTCGCGTAGTAAACGTTTTGAATCATTAAAAACCGAATATAAGAAGTGAAGTTTTTTGAATTACATCGTTTGCCATTGAGCGTCATTATTTTTAATAAACGTATACAGTATATAGTACTGTATATTATGTTCTATTAAAACGATATAGCCATATTGAGCGAATGAAAAAATATATAATTTATAAAATGGAAAAAATGGAAATTTATTTCATAATAATACGGCGGAAAATAATTGTGATTTACTAAATCCTCGCTACAGGCAGACGTTTATTGTACACAATAGTAATAATAATAATAATATGTTTGAATACATAATCCGAGCGGATATAACATTCCAATAAATCAATCAAAATTTACTGTTTTTAGACTCTTGGTATAATTTAAAAGCTATTATAGTTCTACTATATGATGTGGAACTTTTACAGTTAAATGCTCTGATTTGTTCATTCTCTACTTTAAAATAATGCCGATTTTTTGAAAAATGATATTTGTTACGTTTATTGATACGTTTACAACTCATAGGGTCATTTAATTTTTTTTTGATTTTTGTGTTACCTCCGCACAAGGAATAAAAATTAAATAGTATATTATACAAGTTATAATAGAAGTACTACTCTGCTCACAATCGTTCTAGATTCGGAGTGTAACGAATTTGTTTCTGTGTTTAAATAAATTGCCGGCTGAAAATCTTAATCTGAAGAAAAAATCTATTTGATTTTTTTTTTTGTGTCTGTGAGCAACTTTTCAAACAAAAAACATGCTCCGGTGTATTAAGTGTAACACCTTTTATGGAAAGAAATTATAGTAAAAGAAATTTTATCTTGTTGGTACATTGTTTAATGTTTAAGTTTACTTGTTTAAGTTATTTTTTGATTTTCCAAGAGATTTTCATAACAATTGGAAAAACCAAAAAAAAAAAAAACGGTAGAAAGAACAGATAAGTTTACGGCATTAATAATATCGTTATTGCCGATTTTTGTTTTTTGTTTTAATTCAGTTAAACCCGTAGAGATTTGAAATGTATACATAAAACCTATGTTAACCTATTCTAGACGTGGTAAAATTTTAAAAAACATTCGAGCTATTTATTTGCATTTTATATTTTCTTGGTAATTTTATTTATAACTATGAAAAATTGGAAAAAAAAAAACGTAAAATTAAAACAGACAAATTACGGGGTGGCGTTAAGATTCCATTATTTTAAATTTCTACCAGAAATATTTCTCTATTAGAAAAATATTGAAATACATTTTTGTTGCAGTTTTAATCTAGATAGAATGTAAAAAAATCGGTTTTTATTTTGTTTAAGTATTGAACAAAACCGAAAAATACGTTGATGAACGAGAAAATTTACGAAAATAATTATTTTATTATTTTTAATATTGATTTTAAATGTAATTTAGTTTTAAATATTACATAGGGGTTTAAAATTTTGACAAAAATCGTGTATTTGCTTTGTTTACACATGATACAATTTTCATTTTGAACTATTTATAGACATTTTAATTTTACGTCATTTTTATTTAATAGGCACTATGTCAATAAAATTTTTAAACTAAATAGAAATGTTTGAAAATTTGACAGGAAGTTCATTATAAGTTGTAATAAGTGAACAAAACAAAAAATTAGTGCAATATAGTATTTATTTATTTTTTATTATAATTTTAAAATCAAATTTGACAAAAATCGTAAATATTACGGTTTTTCAAAACAAATTGTATGACCGAATTTCCTTCCGGATCATTTTTCGTGAGCAATAGTTTATTGTTGGTTACAAGCATTAATTAAATAACTTTATATAGGTCTTTTTAGATTTTTTGTTACAGTATAAACCTAAAATTATAATAATATCCTTTATTTATCTATCTTCTAAACTGCTGGGCTGCAACAAATGCCATCCCGTCGCGAATAATTTCAAATTTTTTGGTAACTATAGATATTTATTTAAATCTAACGATACTTGTTATTTAATCGTTTTTCGAATTAAAACATATTTTCTCGAATTTTATAAATAAAATTTCTTATACTTAGTGGCAAAAAGAAATTTATTCTAACTATATAATTTTAAACTAGGTATCTATCCAATTTAAGTAGAGTCTAGATTTAAACTCCCAAAAAGTAACGTTTTCACCCCAAAATACCGTTATCAAAATAGGGAAAGAAGCAAAAACTTCACAACAAAAGTTTAACTTTTTAAATATCACTGTACGATAGGAATCGAATTTCGTACTTAGTATACATTTATTATTGTTCTAGAATATTTCGACGAAAATTTACAGTAACTCTAAAGATTGCCTTTTGTTAAGCATACAAAATAAATATTAAGGTTAACGAGAGGATTATTATGTAAAAAAATATGTATTTTTTTTCCTCTAAGAATATATTTCTTATATTTTTTTTTTGTTTTAATTAGATACCTATACATTAAAGTTTATATTTAATTTTGAAATTCGAACATTATAATTTTCCATTAATTTACTAACGTTATAAATAACGAACCTACCTACGTTCATACACTTACCTTTATTACAATATTGAAAGTTGTACTGCCTGAAAACACGTTAAGAAAAAAGGAAAATAATCATAATAATTTACAACTTACTACAATATTAATTTCGCTTCAGTCTTCGCCGTTTACTAGTTTAGAGAGAAATTAAATTAAGAAGAAACGTTTTATTCCGGGCAAAAGAAAAAATTAAAATTAAAAGTCACGAAACGTTATAAATTAGATAAATTATTGTAAAGTTGAGATTCTGTCTCAGGAATGCGATGTAATAGGATTACAATATTATTTTGAAAAAGGAAACGGTCGCGAGGCATTTTACAAAAAGATTGAACCGTAAACAGTAAGTAATTCAATTCAATTTGAATTATTTTATACAAATACCGCTTACGACAATTGAAGTTAGTATTGTTTTACCTACCTAAATTCTTTCCTACCTATGTGTACCTGTGGTAATTGAATTTTGTAAGCACAATTCTTCAAAATGCATGTACTTAAAATACATTAATAGAGCGAGGCCGTTGTGGGCAATAGTTAAATGAAATAATTATATTCATAGCTTATTTATAATAAATGGTTAAAAAGTTAAAAGTTAAGTTTAAATTTTGATTGTACAATTCTATATTTGGATAACTTCAACACTTAAGACAATATCGATTATCGAAATCGAGCTAACTTTTGGTATCAATTTCGATATTTTATCATAATAAAATAATACGTGATAACGTTGTAATCACCTCGTAGTTACATAAATTAATTTAAAAAAATTAGTATTTTTTTAATTTTACCATGTGTTTTTATATCTTAATTCTAAAATAGTGTATTTTTATGATAATAAAATAATATTAACATTTAGTAACGATAAATGTATTAATATTTGTATTCTGTTCATATTTTTAAACAAAACTATCGAGAATCGAGTGTTGAATGTCAAATGAGTATGAATTTTCGGTGTCATCAAAGATTAAGTTTGAAATAACTTTTTAATAAAACTTTGAATTTAACTAGTTAAAAAATTTAACAAATAATATGACGTTAGAAGATAACGCAATTAATAACTCGTAAGTTATTTTGTTAAAATTGAAGTGGTTTCTATAAAAAATAATTTACGTATATTTTGTTTAAAAAACTATGTACCTGCTATATGGTTTTTTTGTATTGTGGAATATTTGAAATTAGGGTTTGTGCGTGATACTTAGACGAGTTTCATTTTATATATAAAGTCATTTTTAAAAAATTGAACTAAGTAACTTTTTTTCTTGAAAATGTGTAACTTCACCAATTCAATTGCATTAATTTATAAAATATTAAAATTAACTTGGCTTAGTTATTTTTAGATTCCAAGCGTAGTGAAGGAGCTATTGGTTTTACAATGCTGTTTATTTCTTTTTCTTTTGTTTTCTTTGTTCTAGTCTGTGGACACGTTTTTCCAAGGAAACCTTTTACATGTAGCAACTTTTCTGAAACCTCAAGTTTTCGTTTTTTGATTTTCGACGCCATATTTTAAATAAAAAATTTTAAGTGGGAAAAAACGTAGAAAAACGTACAATTTTATGATTTTATTGTTTTATAAAAACACGGAAAACGTTTTCTACCAGAAAAACTGATTTAATCGAAAAATTATAAGATACCTTTTTTTTTTAACTTTTTGATTTACTTTTGAGCTTTTAATGAATTTAAATTTTTGAGAGTTTTTCGTTGTAATTCGGTTATAAATACACGTAGAGACTTTAAACTTGGCAATAATAATTATATCGGACTTCTCTAGACGTGGTAAAATTTCAAAAATCATCGGACAACTTTTTTTTTTTTTTTTTTTTAATAAGTGTTTTAAAATCAAATTTAAACGAAAATTGCAAAAAAAAAAATTACGGCACTTCAAATTATATATTCCTGAACTGCGCCCGATATCGTCTTTCGTCGAGCCATAAAATGGTTTATCATTGCTTACAGATATAAATGAAATAATCTTATGTATCCTACTTTTCTAACTTTTCACCTACAACAGTGGCTGCTCCCATCCCTAGTATCAGCTTTTTTTTATTATAAATTAACTTTATTAATTTAAAAAAAAAAAAAATGGCTAACTTGCCCAGCTTTGGTAGTTTATTATTTTCAATCGTTATTTTAATTAATTTGAAAAATTGTAAACATTAAAATCGTAATAAAATCAGTATTTTTCAAAGCCGATAATATCATTATAATATTATATAGTATGTTATACTTTAAAAGCAACATGGTCTGCAAACAAATATTAAGGTTTTTTTTCTACAACTAATATAAGTAATATTATCGTCATCATCACTCTAACGTTTTATTTTACTGTCATGATATGGGCACGGTTAAGTTTTGTTATGATTTCAAAATTGAACGTTTCCTGTTAAATTATATGCGTTTTTTTCGTTTATTTATGTTTGTTAGTTGTTTTTTTTTTTTTTGTGGAAAGAAAATGACATTGATAAAACCGTGTGACTTCATCCTCGAGGCACTTTAATCAAAATCAACCGTTTTTATCTGATTATTCGGCACACGCCGTCGGCAAAATAGTCTAATATAAAATAATGGTACTACAGGATGATCGTCTTCGTTTACTATGGTTTATCTAGATATGGCCTATACACAAACTAATAACAAAACGCGCATAATAAATCGCCGAAACTAACATTTGTAACGTTCGCATTTATTAAATATCTGCATTTTCTTATGCTTTTCGGTGTGCTCGTTTTCTCTGTTTTATCTATTTTTTATTTTTTTGGTTCCCTTATCTTTAAAAATATATTATAATATTAATAGAAACTGGATAAGTTAATAATAATATTTTTTTAACGTTATTTTGAAATAAAATAATTAAAATTTTAATAAATTAACAAATGAGTGTCCAGCGAAAAATACGTACGTTTATGAAAGTTCCTTTTTCGAATTTTCTTTTAAAATAAAAGCTACTACACTGTAATATTACTACATTTCCCGTTACTGTTATATTTATTTTTTTTTTCACTACTTTTAAACTTTTCTTGTGGCTCCCTCTGGATGAAATAAGCTCAAACTAGGTAATTAGAGTTGTTTTGTAAGTGAATTGAAGTGATGTAAAAAGTTCGATTAAATTACAATATAAATTTAATGATATTGTTGTGAATGGAGAATATTATTTTATCTTTGTGTAGCCTACAAACATCCTATCCAAATGAAGCTAAAGGGCTTTAAATTTTATATAAGCATGGCGTTAGAATCAAGAGAATGCTTTAAGGGGATTCCAAATTTTATCCCTCACCCCCTCCTCCTTTTGTTATGCCGCAGTACAATGTTATACTGTAATACTAACTATATAACTAACTATACAATATATACATACATTTATATATATAGTATTCAGTTATTTAATGTTCTGCAAAGAATATTTTGAAACCAAAATTAATTATATGATCCTTACGATAAAAAACGATTTCTAGGCTAATCTGTATAATTACACGGTATTTGGTCAGAATAAGTGGAACTAGTGGAAGGCTCAAACGGATCGAATTTCTCAACTAATTAGAAAACTTTATTTATTAAACATCGTACAATGTTTTACAAATAATAGTTTAGTAGTTTGTTCAATGTGAATTTTTAACTCTTTTTAACTCTCGAAGCGCAAATATTTTATGCAATAAATTATAAAATATACAATATACAGTTACCATTGTGCGATTCTAGTTTACGAGTAGTTTAACTAAAGTAAACGTACTTTCAGTAATTTTCTATTCATTATACTTAATCATTTTCCTGATTTGTTTATATTATAATACTGAAATTTTGAGTGTTAAAAATAATTTGGCAACTAAATGAGCATTAATAATAAAGCAAAAAACATAATATTATCACGAAAAAAAGGTAAACATATTTCAAAATTGTAAATATTTTTGTAGAATCCAAAAAGTGATATACGCATACATCAGAAAAAAATACGCAAAATTTCGTGATTTTCACAATTTTCTTAGAAATTTGAACTTAAAACAATTATGGAAAAACTTATGACTTCAGATTTTTGACATTTGTACAATGTCATAAGAAGAACTTTTAAGTTGTGATGAATGATGTATCGAATATTGAAATATTCGATGATAATCGGAAACCGAATGTCTGGTATACAAGTTGTTCACAGAGATCAGAAGATGGAAAAAAAGCACACGTAATAATATTAAAATTAAATTTATATTACATAATTTAAAATAATAGATTATCTATTATTTGTATACAGATAGGCTAATAAACGTACTTCTATAATAATAGTAATAAAAAATACATATTTTATTTTAATTTTACGAAAATAAACGAATTTTGTACATTATTTTATATACATGAAATATATAACAACGGAAGAGGGGGGAAGAATGGATATCATAATACGTTCAGAGCTATATTTTCCGGAAGAGATTTAGTAGGTATTGAAAATCCGTATGAGAAATAGAGCGCAGAATATACGACTAATGGTACATTTTTGTAACGCCTGTATTAGGAATGATGGCGCCGAATAAGAATTAGCACGAGATGGATAATACGAGGCGAGAAAATGAAAAAGCATACACCATATAATATACGAGTATATACTTATTTTCATTTTCATGGGGTCAAGAGGAGTGCATTATGTTAGTTTTGTTTTTTTTTTTTTTTTTATTTTGATTTTTCCCTACACTTAACACAATAATATATGACGGAACGTCTCGACGACATTTGTACGAATCAAAATAATATAATATTATGTAAACACAACCGCGACATTTTACCATTATAAAACGACTTTGCACTACGGGAAAAGTTCACATTTCGTTTTGGTTTTTTTTTCCTTGCCAGATAGTTTTCGTATAGTGGCTGCACGTATAGTAATAAACTCGAAAGTGGTAGTTTACTCGAAATAAGATTTTTTTTTTTCTTAGATTCTGATTGAAGCGAGGAATGTATTGGTTTTACTATGATGTGTTTCTTCTGTATGTAAACAACTTTCCTACCGAAAATCTTGTTCCAATCAAAGTATACAAAGTTTCACGTAACATTATTTTTAATCTAGTTGGTGCATAGAAGTAGTTTATTAATTTTCCTTTTATTTTCCTGAAAAATAAAAATTGTCTATTTTTCATATAATTTTTGTTAATTTTGTGGCCTTCCGGGTTACTTTGGCAAAAAGGGCATAACAATTATGCTAATTATATCTTGCTGAAAATTATATTTCGTTAGCAATGGCTATTGGCATACAGATATAAATTAAATTAGTCAGCCATATATCACGCTATTCATCTTGCCTCTTAAGATAGTGGATACGCACATATGTCAGTAGTATTAGTTTTTTTTTATTAAAATCATCCCAGTTTAACGGAGAAACGAATATTTTAAAACAAACAAATTTCACAAAAAGATAAAATATATTATACAAACATATACTAAAATAATAATTAGGATAAATTTGTATAGATTTACCTAATATGGTAATGTTACTTAATAATGTGTCACTTGTTTTGAACATATCTAGTTAAAAAAAAATCGTTCACATTTCTCTTGGGAGGTATAAGTATTTAAAATTTTAAGTATTATCTACAAAAATCTATCTTGCTGTATGGATGCCGTGGGAAAGAAGATAAACCTATTTTAATGATCTGCGTCATGGTTTTCATGCTTTTTCCGGTCAATATATTATTTTTAAGACACCTGAAATATGTCCTAACTCACTCGTATTAATGTACATCAACAAAATTTGAAAATATTCGTAATTTTGATTTTGTAGCATTCTAACTTTAAAAATACGTATATAATATTTTATGTTAATTTATATACTATTCATTATTATAAGTATTGATAATATGATGACTCTGTAACACCTTAGTTAAGATGAACTAAGTCAATTAAATAAAATAATAATAATTGCTTTAAAAACTTCACAAACGTTTATACCGAATTCGTTTATCGAATGGTCTTACAGTTTGAGTGAATTTTTTCAACCCGATGTCCTACCAATCGATACATACATAGTGATTGTATTTCACAAACCAGCAATTATCTATAGAGATTTCTTCGGAAATTTAATTTCCCGTTAATAATAATGCGTACACGAAAAACGAAACCAAAATCAAATTTCATTATACAAATCTACTAGAAGTCTATACTCGAATCTTCACTACTGATTCACTGATGAAAGAACCACTCTGTATACCATATGTGGTGAGTTGATATTTAATTTCAATTACGCGGTCATTGAGCGGGAATGTCATTATATAATGGAACGTGTGTGCTATACGTGTCGCCGTGATCATCGGTAGGGGAAAAAAAGAGAGTGGCTTGCAATGATGACGGTGTGAAAGAGGCTTTTTTCTCCTTTTTGTTGCTTCAACGCGGAAAAAAAAACAAGCGCATAATTTTCATTCGCTGGTAAAACAATTCGCGGATCCTTTGCGGTGACCGCTTTATACATTTTTTAAAAAACATAAACACTATCAGATTTTTCGTGCACACAATGATAATAATAAATTTCGGTGTACAGTTGTGACGTGTTAATTGAGATTGATAGGGGCCAGCTTAGGACGCAGGCATTTAATCATAATAATTATTACAGGATGATCAACGTAGGTCGAATTATAAATTTCAATACCAAAATTTATTCAAAATTAAACTTCATCTATTTATGCAATTTTCAATATAGGTTGCTTTTTTAAAATTGGGTATAGATGGTTATCTCCAATAAAATATTCACACATAATATCAAAAGTTTTAAATTTTAAAGCTGCTTATTAGCTATTTTGGTTTTACTATGTCAATTTTTTTGTTTTTTTTCTTTTTAATTTTGGGTCTATAAACAAATGGTAAACAAATAATACAATATGTCTACCCGAAATTTTGTATAAACCAAAAACTGAAAAAATAGTAGTAACGGGGAGGAGAAAAAATTAGATTATGGCTGCAATTTTATTCACAAATCATTATTTCATACATGTATTATATAAAAATAAGATAGTATAATACATTTTTATTTAACTCAAACAAACGGAAATTCATGTATGTCATGAGCTCGTGTCTCGTCACACAAATACTCCGAAAAATCTACCAAATTAAGAATTTGTAATTATTTGCGTGTAAAGTCGAATTATGTCAATCTGATCTAAATATAATATTATTTTAGTAATATACTATAACTCGTCAGTTGCAAACCGTAAACAACGGTTTGCAAATGAAACCGATTAATCTATTTATCTACCATGATATAAATATATGATGGTATAAATTTCTGAAGGTTGGATTAACGTACGCGCGTCCATTATACGCTTTAATTATATATACTTTAACCTACATATGAGTAAAATATTAAGCTGACAAGTAACTCGCAGAAATAATTCACAAAACCGTTATTATCTATTATGTAGTTACACATATAAATATTATTGAAAAAGTATCTGTCTGTGTCTATTTACCGGGCCCGAACCGATTTCAATAATATGATACTTTTATTGCAAAGTATAGAGGTAAATAATTTCGAGAGTAATTTAAAGGCTACTTTTATATCAGAGTTTAAACTATTAAGGGAGAACGACATTTGATTTTTGGTCTTATAATTCGGTAATAAAATATTTATAGCAAAGTAGGTAAAACATAACATACAAAATATGAATTTAAAAAAAAAAAAATGTAAGCAAAACAATATTTCTGAACAATACCAAAACTGAACCAATATATTTTCCAATTAACTTCATTGATTAAAAATACAAAAAACATAAAAGTGGGTTAATTGGGTCATCTGGTTAATTTGTTTTTCGTTTTAAAATATATACACGGAATTTCTCTCCTTTTAATTATTTCTTACCATGCGTTATATTTTTTTGGAAGATCTGACCTTATCTCTTTATTACAGTCTGCTGTAATATTTTCGGATAAAATACTATCGGCCAAAGTATTTTTCTGCTTAAATATCGTTCGGCTTAAATACGGTTCGACTGATTTATTTTTGGTTGTTTTAAGCGCTCCTTTAATTTATCATCTATGATACGTTATCATTAATTTAAAATGTAGAATGTAGGTTATCAAATTGATCCGAATAGCCTCCATTAAGGTTTTCTCGGGGCTCTACATACCTAAGTTTTATGTCAAATATCCTATCTTTCGTTATGAACCAAAAATAACGGTTCAGACAGTAAGTTCCTATCACTCTTACGATAGTGATTACCAAATATCATAAATTCAATGTAGTGTAATGATTGTTTTCACGATAGTTATTATCATCGCATGGGCTCGTGTAGTTTACGCAGGTTCTATATATTTAGCGTGTTTCAAAGAAAATATAAACTTGTATTATCATTTTTAATCAATAACCTAATCGTTTTGCATATTTTTAAGCTGTGAGTACATACAGGGTGTAACAAAACTATTTGACATTTTTATACTGTAGTTACATGTAAAAATAGCAAATAGTACTGTTACAACCTGTGTATACACATAATATATTAATATATATCATGTTTTGTTTGATTAAATCGAGAAATATGTACAGAATATTTTCGATTAAAATGACCGGCAAATATTATTTTAAATATAAAATGTGCAAATGCATTATATTATACCCCTTTAAAAGAGGTGTATACGTAAAATATGCAAAAATGCGGTATCAATTTATATTTTTATTACAATGTTTTTAATTACTGTTGGTATTTCTTCTTGTTCATTTATATTTTGTACGCTAATCGTAATTATTATTTCCAATACTGAATGTATAATATATTTATTCTATTGAATACGCTAGCAACATATTTTCGTTTTGATATCGTCATTTTAAACAATGCGTACTTAACCAAAATATTGATTTTACGAAAAAATAAATCTAATAATAATACAACCGTTCTATAGAACTGAAAAACAAACGCTTGACAAATAAAATTGAACAACATAATAAACGTCAATTTACAGAAGAAAAAATGATTTTGAGACTGTAATTTTTTTTTAAAGTTTTGGTTCTATTCTTTTATCGCTCTAACCAGCAATTATCTACAATGATTTTGAGTGAATTTTGATTTTTCAGTCGTTATAAAACTGTTTTAAGAATATCTAGAAAGCTTTTTAATTTGGTTACTGGTTATGGAATTTGGAGAAATTTGAGAGCTAATTATACTGAATTAATGACCAACAACAGTACACTTAATGAAATAGGTAGGTAAATCTAAAGAACTAATAAAACGAATTAAAGTGAGTCGGTGGAAATTAATTAGGTATACTATGACACATTGCCACAATATAATTGAAGGAGAGAATCGAAGACCACCAGATCACGAAAAGAGTAGTTTCTGATACTCAATTAATGTACTACATAAACTTGATGAGGCTGACCAGTAATACAAGGAATAATGGAGGAAATATCGAAGAAAACTTTAAAACTAACCTTATGGTTGAATACCATAGTAAAATAAGAAAACCGTTTGATCTATTGTTTATGATATTTCCAAAATGTGATTTATTCCTAACATAATATAATATTAAATTTTGATTTTAAAATTTCTGCAAACGAATATTTCACTCGAAATATCTGCACATATAGATAATATATCTATATCCTATAAATCCTATATTCTATATCTATATGTATCAATAATAAACTAATGTCTAATATCGATACAAAATAATCACCCTGTATATACCTGAAGTGTATGTATCTACTGACTAATTATAATAGGTAATACTTTGTATTTATAATAATGAAACTGATCTACTCTCGTTATTTTAAGTGGCGGTGGCCCGAATCGATAAATTATACTTTTTATCCGAATGATTTCACGGACGTTTACCGCTCTTAAGTAATCTCTGATATAAAGTGTGGAAGTGGTGTTTAATTGCACGGAGCAAAAACACCGTCCTCCACTCACACTCATGCATTTGTCCACATCGTAGTCTCATCCGAAAAGCGTATACACAGTTTTATGCTGGCCTTTTAATCTAAAATAATGAGGTCATGCACATGAGGGGTGGAGGTAACTACGTGCATTTGAGTTCCATTAAATGTAGCGGAAGACGATTCGAAGTCTGTGGGTTAATATTATAGGATATACGTTACACTCAAACGGTCCCGAAAGACGCCTATTATAAAAAATAGCGAGTTTCGCAGTCATTAGTCGGTTCATTTTTTTGCAGACAATATATAATACTATAATAATAGGTAATACATTTCCGTTATACGAGTAGGTATTTATGGTTAACAATATACGAGTGTAAATAATATTAATTTTTCCACCTAATGATTATGGATAATATAAAATAATAGACGTTTTTAGTTTTTTTTTTTTTAGTCGATTACCCGTTTATTATACTAACCCCTATTTAAAGATACATAGGTATGGTAATAGGTAAATTTGCAGGTATTATAGTATACTCAATAATCATACGAAAACGGTTTACTGAATTGTTCATACGTAAAACTTCTCAACTTCTCACCTACAAGAATGGTACACTCATCGTTTGAAATGTGTCCATATTTTTTTAACATGAACCAGCATTTTTCTTGGAAGATTTATGTGAATTTGATTTCTGTTTTTTTTTTTATATTATTATTATTATTTTTATTATAAAATAGTTTAATTTTTATTTTAAACCTATTTTTAATTTTTACCCCTACTCAATATATCATATAAGATAAAAAATTACATACTTTTGTTTTTTAAATATGAATCCCCTTTCCCTTTTCAAACAAAGGTTCGAATACAGAATATGTCTCTAGAAATTTTAATATGCATAAAGATTTACCGTTTAAAATTTAGATCAAAGAGTTACCAATTTATCATTTAAAAATATGTAATATGCAATTTATTGCCCTTCCTTACTTCTTCGGTCTAAACTTTAAACGGTTATTACTCATAAAGGGTAAACCACAAATATAGTTGTGATTTACATATTAAAATGCTAGAAAAATATTCTTTATTCGAATATGTGCTCAAAAAGTGGGATATAAAAATGGGATTTAAAAATAACAAAAGTATATTTAAGGCAAAAATATCCTAGTAGGGGTATTAAAATAAAATGATTCTACAATGATTAAAAAAAAAATTATATTCACTTAAATCTTCCGAAAATGGACTAGAAGTTATTATTTTTATTTTTTTTAAATAATTTAACGAAAAAATGCATCACGCATACAATTGTTGACCTATTTTAATATTTTAATATTATAATGATATATTAATAAAGGATGCTCTTGTATCAAAACAACTTTAACAAAAGTGACCCGTGAATTTTGTCACGGAAGTAATGCTCCTTAAGGGTGTTTCACGTTTTTTCAAGTTATATACTAAAACCACTCTTATAATACGCGTATATATACGGACGCTTTGTATCATTTTAAGAGCCATTGTATTGGACCAATTTGTTTTTAACCATATTTTTAAGCAGGTGGAATCAAATTTTTAATAATAAGAATTCAGTATTGGCATACATAATCAATATATTTGTATCTAGATGTAAGATAATGGTTATTATAAAGATTAAAAGTTTATCTTTGTATTACTAAATGATGTTTAATATAATACAAAATATTATTTTAAAGAGATATAGGTTATTCAAATTTAAAACAGTATAAGTCTGTCTAATACTTTATATACATATATATATATATATATATATATATATAAAAAATATAATATATATTTTTGTGTATTACAAAACATAATAATTGATGTATTAGTTGTACATTTTCAAGGTTAAAAAATATTTTTTTAAAAAAAATAGATCAATAATGATTTAATAATATTTTTTTTTTATAGGTTCTTTATATCTACGAATGTACTGAAAATAAAGATAAAGACATTTTAATTTCATTTAATTTTATCTAGAAAAAATATAGTATGTAGATAATTCCAACATTGTACTATATTATTATCACTATACGGTGATGATATAGAATAGAAAACGCCCCCTGTATCGATGAATCGTGGATATTATTAGAAAATTTGCAAAATGACTGTATGTCGACTACTTATATTAATACTACACGATTAAAAAAAAGAAAAAAAGTTTATTTAAAATGAAAAATATTGTAATAAAAAGAAAAGTAACGTCACCGCCGAGTTGTTTCCATTTCCGGGTAATGGCTGCGGTTTACACGCACCTGCTGTCTTTTGCACGCGTGAAATGATCACCGCCGCCGTCGTTGCCGCTCCGGGAATAAAACAAATCAACCGTGACATTTTCGACAGCCCACTCTAAACTGTGTGCAAAAACCGTTTGGAGAAAAGTCTCGAATAAAAATTTATGTACATTACAGACTGGAGTCGAGATTTTCTCTTTCTCTTTCTCTTTCTCTCTCTCTCCCATATTGAAGGCCAGAAACCACTACTCTTTATCACGCCACCCTTCTCTACGTTCCCTCGACACTGGCGTATGATTAATTTAAATCTGTCAATAGCTGCAATAGCTGCTATACTGCTGCAGACCCATCCAGTGTGGTGCGTACAGTGTTCTCTCGACCCCGAAGAGCAACAAAAACGATTAAAAAAAAAAACCCAAAATACAAAAAATACAAAAAACCAATACTTTTTATTATACGACTAATTGGTTTTTAACTCAATAACCCTCCGGAAACCGCTGATTTTCATTTGTCCGCGCTGCCGCCGGCATAATGACGGCGTTTTATAGATTTCATTATATTACGACCGCGATGATGACCTATACTATGAGGAGGGTGGAGGAGATGGGTGGAAAAGGCGGGAAAAATATCTGTTTTTCAACTTTTGGATTTCAATAGCCTTGCACAGGCAGCACAAACACGCGATATTTTTTTATTATTCAGCACACTCAATAATAATAATATCGATATCCATAACGATAATATATACGAGAGTATTAATTATTATTATAATGCCAGGATGAGGAAGGCAAAACACACTACGCATTATTCATCGTGCACTAATATTATTTCAAATATTGTAAATCTCCACGAAAATATATTTTGATAATAATAATATTATATACACACCAGAAATATTGTATGCACAGTACAACTAAACATAGCATTATATGGTATGCATTTAATTTGACCGTGGTGAACAATTAATAAACGAAAAGTCATAATTTATCGTATTTTCATTTATACCTATATTATTATCAAAGGTGTTCAAATTTAAAAAAAAAAAAAAAAAAAAAGGTAACCGTATATGAATTCACCACAAAAAAAAAGGTACACATTCAGTTCATTGTTGAAAATTTAAACCTACCGAGAAACCATACGTATATTATATAGGGCCAACCGATATTTACGATATTTTTATCGTATCTCTACCGCCCTAGTAAAATTCAACAGTATTTTTTCTTTACTCGCTCCCAGGCAAGACTTTAACAACCGGCAACAATATGTATTTTTTCTTCCGCGCGAAGATTTATGGTTCGTTTTAACACCACTCTATGATACGTATATAATATAGTGTGACTTTTAAATATTTCATCGTCGTCGGTAAAATCGTTATTCTACAGTCATAACATAATAGTCCTTATACATATATTGGGCAAATGATAATATGATACCTATAATTTACAAACCCTAATATTTGAACACTGATGAATTAATGAAAATTTTAATTATTTTTGAATCCAACTGAGATGTATTGCACAATGAAGTTTTGTACGTTGCATTATTAAGATTTGACATTCTTTCAATTCTATTTTTAACTATCGTTTTTTCATCATCTGAGCTCGATTAAGTTTGAATGAGTGTATACGATCTTCGAAAATGGATAGCAGTAGCTAACCGTAAACTGTTGTGGTATTTTTAGATTCTGAGGAAAGCAAGAAATGTATTGGTTTATCTATGATGTGTTTTTTTTTTATATATTTATCTGAAAATTAATTGTCTACCAGAAATAATTGAATGATAAATTGATATACTAATATCGCCTATAAATCAATAGGTATTCTCTTAATTGTTTTGGTCAATATTTTTATAAAACGTTTTTAATCTCCGCCCCGCTCCATTATTGAACAAATTAATCCATGAAACGAATGAGAAAGAATGTGAAACTGTTTTTTTCATGGACCTATATTTTTCAGCCTAAATTTTCTATCGTGTTACACGACAAAAATCTACGGTCTCAAAAGTTAATTTCTTATCCACTATTTTATTATATCTATGCGTATCATACAAAATATTATGTAATATACATGAGCTATAAATAGATTATTATTAAAAAATAAATGATAATAGAAACACAACCATTTCAACACAAATTAAGTTTTCGTTTGTTCTTTTTAGGTTTGTTGTTATATTTTATGTACTAATTTTTCCTCTTTTTTGTTATTTTTATAAAGGCAATACAAAACAAAAATTGTTTCAAATGAACGGAGTACCTATATAAACTTACCATCCATGATAGGTATAATAATGTTTATTTCTCCGAAAATAATTTTATTGTTTCCTCTCAAAAATATTATTTATACCGTGTTTCACAGCATTTGTATTTTCTATCCCAACACTTAAAGTAATTTGTAAACTGTTTTAACATTTTTATTTACAAATTTAAACGTTTCATATGTACGAATAACATTATTACAAGAAAATTAAATATACTAAATTAATTTTTAACGAAATAAAGGTTAATATAAAACTAAATCGTGCAGATTTTATTGTTTTAGTAATAAACAAATGGCCTTAAAAATACAGTTTTCATAGAATCGTAAAACTGTTTAAAGTACGAGCGACTACTTAGTATATACGTAAAAATATTTTTAGTGCCAAGTTTAACGTTGGAAATGTATAATATTATAGTTTACCTACAACTTAATTTATACATATTATCAGGTTTAAAAATAAAGTTAAATAATATTAAAACTAAAAGGTTTGTACTCACATTTCACTGATGGTTTATCAATTGTTTTGAATGTTAAAAGTATACAAATATTTTACTCACCTGTAAATAATAAAAAAATAAATTAGAGAGTCAATTTCGTGATTTATTAACGTAGTTATCTATATAATAAAAAATTATGATTTATTCAATTACATAATACATTTTAAGAGCAAAATATTCTATTTTTTTTTATCGTAAGAAATAAATTCGTACAAGCGTGGACACCTTCCTAGATTTTCGTGTTTACGTATGATTTATAAACAATTTAACAAAAAATCTAATACAATTTAATTTAAAATTAAAAATAATTCATAATCCTTTCACCCTTTATGATGGAAGCACTTGCAACGTCAGGATTATCGGTTTTTTATACCTCATACTATTATGATGAACATAAAACGGCATTTCGAGTAAGATTGAAAATATTGATTAATATTAGTAGAATATATATATTTTTTGATTAGATTACGTTAGATTAGTTTATGGTTTTTTTATGTCGAAAAAAAAATTAAGAAAATCTTTCAAAATAAAACGAAACGTTGAAAGCATTGATAGGTTCGTCGTTTTTCAAGATTGCTTTTTCGAGCTATTTTTTAAAATATTCATCGTATATATGGTTTTTAAAAGTACAGTGTATTTTCATAGAAAATAATACAAACACGAATACAAATATATACAGAAAAAACTACGTGTACTGACGGTTTTATTTTTGCACCCCGCGTTATGGAATTTAAAAACTGTTACTCGTATACAATATTATTATATTATATATAATAATATAAAGTTTGAAAAAAAAAATACCATTTCTAAACCACGATTTTTATATCGAAGTGTTTAAATGTGTATGTCGGTATGCCATGTACTCGAAATAAAATAAATGAATTTAAAAATATAAACGTAGTCTCGGCATCGTCGTTGTGTAATAATAATATTACGCAACGCGATAAAGAAAATAGAACAGCTGTCGCCAAACATTATGTTTGTTCGCACATTGTTATCACATATTCGTATATTATATACTCGTGGTTTAAAATTCTAAATACATAGCTACATTTAAATGCTTCTCGTAACGTCATGAAATTAGGGGCTTGAAGTAGTTTTCTGAATTTTCTCCAATTTAGTAAAATTAAAAAAAATTGTTTTTAAAAGGAAAGGAATACCATAAATAATTGTAGGGATAGACATAGCTGATAAGTTATATAAAGATAAATCATTGCACTCAAAGACGTTTTTGAATGAAATAGTAAAATAATATGTGTCGAGTCAAAAATATTAGTCGGATAATACTGTTATATAATAATGTATAATATATACATCAACGAAAATACAAACAAAACAACCTAGGGGTGAACTGTTGAACATTTCCATCAATAATTTAAATAAAGTAGGATAAGTATCAAGAAACTCTGCATCTTATCTTTATTATATACGAAATGAAAAAATCCTCATATATATCTCTATGATGTTGGTTTTTGTTATCATTATTATTAACATATGAAATATTAAAAAAAATATAATTACAAATTACCTATAATCAGTTCATCCATTCACTCATTATGACTATCTAAGCTTTATCATTTATCAAAAAAAAATTCAATATGTGTACGTATTCGTATTTTACCTTTACAATTTAAGAGCACGGAATTAGTATGCTTAGAAAATTAATAGTTAAATATAAAATTAAAACCTTAATATACAATATTCAAATTTCAAAAAATCATATATCAAGTAATTTCACTCAGTAACTTAACTCCCTTTTGGAAAATAATTAAATACGTAATTTATTAATAAATGTTCATAATTTCATTTCAGTAACTAATATTTGGAAGAAAACATTTTTTTAACATTAAGAACAACTGCAGGTCGTTTAAGTTTATAATAAGATGCAGTATTCATTGTATACATGTTCTTCTTCTCCTTCGATTTCATCCCAAATACTAAATTATCACTATGATTAATCTCCCACATAATTCTCGCGTACAACGACTATAATCATATTCTTCTCAATCACATTCAACACTTCTATTTCATTTTTCTTCTCGCCCTACTACCTCTTATGTTTATTTCCATTACCAATCTTACTGCTTTCAATTATTCTCTTCTCGTGACATTTTCCTTTTTTTTTCTACTATCAAATCACGCTTATCATACCTCTTGTATACTCATTCTTATTCTATCTTCTCTCGTCACTCCATTTATCCACCTAAGTTTCTCATTTCTGCTGCGCTAATTCTTTAGTCTATTTTCTGTTTACCACCAAATACTCTGAATCTTACATCACAGTCGGTTTTACTTCATTCTTTTATAACTTTTAATTCCAATTGAAATTCTCTTGTCATATCACACTGGACTTTTCTTTCAAATTGATACAACCATAATTAATCCTACATTTAACATCAAAGCTACCGCTCATTTTTACACACACGTAAGTACCTAGTTAAAACTCTGAACTTCGTCTATTATATCGACGCGTACTCATTACTCGTCTTGTCCCATCAACCTAATCTTATATTTTTCCTCCAAACTCATTCCCTATAATAATCTGTTGTACTTCAACTTATTCTAAGTTTCTTTTGTTCAAATGGTACTCTTCATTCATTGTATACAATTTCCAGAATTCTTCCTATAAAAACTATATCTTTCTTTATGTATACATAAATATTTTTATTGTTTATTTATGTATCAACTATATATTATTTTAATCGTACACCATTGTATATCAATTGATGTAAATGAAGTAAAATTTTATAATATACAAACAATATTGACAAACCATAAGATATATGAATGCAATTCGTAATAATATGTGACAAACTATGCACGCACTGCACTTAATGGGTACCTTTATACATTGTAAAATATGGAATAGAAGAATTATTAAAATAAAGGATGATGTCCTTCACACCTTAGATTGATCAATGTGGCAAGTGAGAAATTTGAAAGAAAGAATACAATATATTTTATTTTAAATCTGTTTTACCGGTAAATCATTGTTAACGAAAAACGATTCTAACCAATGTATTTAAAAAACATATTTATTCCCTTGTTGTCAAGGTAACACAGAAATTAACAAAAATTGTCAGTTTTTCACATTTATGAAGAAAATCGCAAATAAAATATTAAAAAGCTGTCCTAAGATAATAGAGATGGATGTAGCCACTGTTATAGATGAAATGTTAGAAAGGTAGAAGAAAGGAAATCGAATGTATAGATATCAACGATAACCTATTGTTAACGAAAAAATTATTCTGAGCGGAATTAAGTTGATAGTGTTGCTTTGTCAACAATATATATGTCATATTATGGTAAAATAATTACATGTGGATTATACATTTTCTTGAATCATATTTGTTTAATATAGTATCTATTTTTCTGTTTTTCCTACGGTTGTCCTATTTATTGGAAAAACTCCTGGGAAAATCAAAAAATGACCTTACAGTACTTTTCCACAACGATTTCGTTTCCGAAAATATGCTACATTTAGAAATTAGAGTAATCCTTCTGGTAGAAAAGTTTTTATCAAATAAAAAAAAATAAATTAATAAACATCTTTGTAAAACCATAAGCTTCTTCACTCCACTCAGAATCTTAAAATAAATAAAAAAATATAACATCATTGTAAAACCAATACATTCCTTGTTCTGCTCAGAATCTAAAATACCTCTATGATGCACCAAAAA